GGTCCAACATACAAGAACTTTTTTTCTCAAGAAGATATGGTAGGCATCCGTATGATTTTATTTAAATAATATGTATGATGATAAAGCTATGATTCCATTTCTAGTTTTACATGTATATATATTTTTAAATTTTTTTTATTTCGAATTACAGTTAAAGATAAAGGTCACTGCGATAATTTAAATTACATGTATCAAAGTCGAAACATGGTCTCTATTGCAATACAAAACCTTGTTAACATGCATGCAATTCACCAGTTTTAAAGTTTATACAATCATTATGCATTCAATTAAATGACGACAGAAAATCGACAGAGTTTGATTATAAACTGTATATATTGTAAAGATTCAACAAAGGGCTAGATAGACTAGCCCGAACAGTAGCATCTTTTAAAAGGATAAAGCGTAGTTACGGCAAATTTTTGTCTATTGTTTGATAAAAAGTCAAAATATCAAATTGTGATACAGCAGTTCGTAGCTTGAATAAAACCCCGGATTCAAACCAGTAATGATTTGTATTCAAAGCATGAGCAGAGGTTACAGGAGGGTGAGAGACTTTAATGAAATTGCATCGTTTAAGATTTTTTTTTTAAATTTGAAAAAAAAAAAAAAACCAAAATACAAGCAAATCTATGTCTAATTGTCGTACACAGGATGTGTACATGTAAATACTAAGACATAAAGTAAATTTTGTTAAACTAGCTTTCACTTTTTCTCTCTTGATGCAAAATTTGCCTTAAAATGTGACGAAAATCAATTAAAACTGTGGTAAATTGGAAAATGAACAAATCTGTAACCCTCCCATGATCTTTATGAATGCTAACGATTTAAACAAGTATCTGTTTTTCAAATTTGCATAGCGAAGTATGTATTACTGCCACATTTTGAAATACATTCATATGTAGTAAGTAAAATTAAATATTCACTTTAAATAGTAAATTCCTAAAAGGTGCACGATCTAGAGCTCTTGAGAGGAATCTGGCATTGTATCAAGCAGCAAGTCATTTTATAAGTAGCAAAGAAAACAGAGACTTTAATTTTAGTATTTAGACAAAAGTCATTTTTGTATTGGTGAAGTATATTGGATTTAAACCCTACAATAATTCTGTATAAGTAACGTGTTAAGAAGCTTATACGTATGGTCCACTATTTACTTGTGTTTTTTAAATGAACTCTCATTGGTAAAAGACATTTTGTATATTTGTCTATTTCTGGAGGGACGAATGTCATAGCTAAGACTTCTCAAGGTTAAAAACATTTTGTGGTGGCTCTTATTGTTAAAGTATCCTTCTAGGTTCCTATCCTCTAAGGCATTCGATATCAAACTATTGTTGAACAATGTGTTTTAGAAAACAAAGGCAAATGAACGTTGGTCAACAGTTACTGAAATTAACTTAACCTTACATCACAAAATTCCTTATGATTCGCTTTTCCATGGCCAGATGAAAAAGTCCTAGCTTTTTGTCTCAGTGATATGTTAGACATTGAATTTGTACGACTTGCAGTTTCTAGATGTTGGGAAACCGCATAAAGCACTTCAAAAAGAAGTGAAACTTTATTTTGAGGAAAATTTTAATTCTCCTTTACCAAGACTGCTTTGTGTCATGTTTGGTTGATATTAACCCAGTGCTTCTGGTTAATTTGCTTTAAAAAGTACAAAAGTTTGAAGAAACAAAGACGGCAAAACAAACAGACCAAAGACCGACACTCTGACAAAACCTCATTTAGCACAGTTGACCTAAAGCGTAAAGACTGTAGCCTTTAAAACAAATATCAACAGAATTTATCTTTTTGCAAGAATTTTTATCCCCCCCCCAAAAAAAAACCTTTACCCTTGACGAATCAGAGCAAAATTTCAAAGTACACTAGTACTTAGATTATAATGATCTGAAGTTCAGTAAAAATCTACATCAAATGATAGCCCAAGCTCAAAATTATGAATATTTGGTGGAAATTTTATCCAAAACACAGAGTATGCTAAAATAACCAAATTAATTATCTTTTGATTTCGCTTCAACAAATTATTGAATTATTGTCATTCTATAGGAACTTTCTCACACTTCAAAATAAAAACTTCATGCAAATCAAAAATGTTTTAGATCCCAGAAGAAATTTTATTTATTTACTTTTAAAAATCCCTGTAGTACAAAACAACAAGGTCACCTTGCACCTTAATCATAAGTATAGCATATTTGGATAAAAAAATATTCTTATAATCTTTTGTTGAGGGAATAATTTTTCTTTCGTGATAGATTATATTCTAAAATGGCATCAAAATCATGTAAATTGTTAAAGGTTTCTTCAGGTATTCAATTGTGCTTTTTATAAAATGGCATATTTCAAATATCGTTAATCATGAAACATAAAAGATAAAAAATCGAATTACTCATATCATAATGGGTTATTTTCCATAAAACTTCATAAAGTAGTCGGTTGGTTTTTTTTTTATGCTTTGACAGGAACACAAAAGCATCTAATCATTACAAAGCATGTCTAAACTTTCACACGGATTTTCTTTTTTAAAGAACTACAATCACATTCGGTAAGATCGATGAACAAATTATGAGACGGGATTTTACGTTCCGCGAAGGAAACAAGGTGTATTTCATTTGTTATTATGCGAACAGGTGCGTGTAAACATTTATATAGTGTAAATTAAAGAGTAGAAATTTATTCTATGAAATTTTACCACTAGGAACTAACGAGGTGAAAAGATCAGTGAGATCTGTGTTAGCTCAGAGGACCACACGCTATATTAGAAAAAAATAATAAAAAAAACCCCCCAAAATATTAGCAATAAAACATGAAAATCGAATAAGAATTTAGATATTGTAAGCTCGAAAAGCATTCCGCATCTGTGTGTGTGTGTCCCTGACACGCGAGATATCATCACATTAGCGAGGGAAGGGGCCTTGGTTGCCTGAATGGAGAAACGTAAAGAAATACATACAGCATGACATTATATATACGTATATCTTGACTATGTATCTTAATTAAAGTCAGCAAAATTGAATACCATCTAAGAAACAAGCACTTACAATTGATAAAACCATTCTAACGACCTATGGGTTTAATCTTCCTATACCGCAGTACGTGAATCATCCAGAAGCTAGTTTTATGTCTTATCTTTAAATTGTTTTATTCTGTACGATGTTTTTATCGGTCAAAGTTTTGAAATTATAGTTAATCGCCTGCCACAAAGCTCTGACCGCTGGTCACTTAGACAACAACTTATAATAGATACAAAAGAGAGCAGATTAGCCGGGCTTCTCACCAAACAGCTAAGATCTCCTAAGATGTACACAGTAGTCCTATTCACAAATCTAATCCATTTAAACATCCAAAGACATTAATCGGAAAAACCGTTTAAAATACACAAACAAATAGCCACCACTTTATGCATGTTAATCGCTGGTTCATGCAAACTTACACCAAACTCTCTTAATCCAGTACAATTCATACGCTGGGTACTTGACTGACCAGCTGGTGAAAATGACCAGAACTTAGTATATTAATGTGAGACAAGCAGTCTGGTACACAGTCTCCTTAAGATGGGACCTAGTAGTAAGGATTCGCGATCAGGCAGCGAGAGTTCTGATAAAACCGAGGTAAGACCAGTTTCTTAGAACTCTGCTGTATTTTATCAAATATTAACTCAAGGGGAAATTGAGTAGCTAACGTACATGTAAGTACATGTAGCTTGAGCAATTTGATTTTGAATTTCAATTTGATTTTCCAATAACCTGTTATCAAATCTGTTCCTTATTGTTTCCTGATGTCCATTCTCTATTAAATGTTAGTCCTGCATGGTAGATAAAGAGTTGATCTCTTATGTACTCCTGCTCCTGGAGACTAGAGAATTGATCTCTTATGTACTCTGGAGACTAGAGAGTTGATCTATTATGCACTCCTAGAGACAATAGAGTTGATCGCTTATGTACTCCTGGAGACTAGAGAGTTGATCTCTTATGTATTTCTGGAGACTAAAGAGTTGATCTCTTATGTATTCCTGGAGACTAGAGAGTTGATCTCTTCTGTACTCCTGGAGACTAGAGAGTTGATCTCTTATGTACTCCTGGAGACTAGAGAGTTAATCTCTTCTGTACTCCTGGAGACTAGAGAGTTGATCTCTTATGTATTCCTGGAGACTAAAGAGTTGATCTCTTATGTACTCCTGGAGACTAGAGAGTTGATCTATTATGTACTCCTGGAGACTAGAGAGTTGATCTCTTCTGTACTCCTAGAGACTAGAGAGTTGATCTCTTATGTATTCCTGGAGACTAGAGAGTTGATCTCTTATGTACTCCTGGGGACTAGAGAGTTGATCTCTTATGTACTTTTGGAGACTAGAGAGTTGTTCTCTGGTTGTATGTACAGTTTGGATCGTGGTGTGTTTTGCGAATGCTCCCTTGCTATCCGTGTTGATTTGAGCCACAGACGAATATTGTGAGTGCATAGTGCTAACAGTCATCCTTTGAAGCTTATCCTTTAATTATAACATATAAGTCCTCTGTATGACAAATAAAGTCGACAAGAAAGCTAACTTCTGATTGCATACCTGTACATGTAAGCAACTTTCTACGAAAGACATGCAGTTATACATAAAAAAAGTAAATAGATTTCACTCTAACACCTCATTGTCTTTTGATGTTAATTAAATCAATGCCTAGAATGAGATGTCATTGTCGGTTAGATATGCCTTTTACCAAGCAACACGTGGTGTTTGGTCGATAACAATTGCATTTTAGAACAATTGATAATGGGTTCATTCACTGTTTAAATATTAAAGTTTAAAACATCGTAGAGTATAACATTAACAGACAAAAGAATGATTTAATTAAAAGGCATTTTTGAAATTGGAGAAATCTAAACCTTCGAGAATCCAATTTACAAATGAAAACACAATTAAAGTCATTTCATTTTTCAAATCAAACAGTCAATATTTTCTAAGTATTGGATATATAGCAAAGTCATGGCATTTGATAATATCAAGGACCCTAAATTAAACTACCGGGAGAGGGGTAGAGATTTGTTTCTGTGAAGTCTAAATTTGACGTAACATAAACTCCGGATATTTAAACGACAAAAGAGGCAGTAAGTGGTGCATACGACCAACAGTCCCTCCAGTCTTAGGGATGTATTCCTTTAAATACAAGTTTGTACCGGTAAGAACACTTTGGTCTTTAAGAAGAAAAAAAAAACCCAGGAATTGATTTTTCCACCAGAAATTTGAAGCGGTGATGATATAATCATAGACTGGGTAGCTGTTCCGTAGACAGCACCGTAAAAGCCCAATGACACGTTTTCTGATCAATTTGGTAGAATCTGGAATGCAGCTACCCGAAGGAAACAATGTTGGATGTTGTTATTCAGGCCATGTATTCGAAAACATTTATTGATTTTTTCATTGTGTATTTAATTTTTGAGATACACATCAGTTTTAGCGTGTAAATGCAATATGCTGAATCTAGATTCACAAATATTGACAATTCATTCGTCTTGAAATGGAGATTAAATCTGTTTGTATATATAAAAAAACAGGGTTTTCTTGATTAAAATTTGTCGACATATTATTAGAAGCCAGGGTAAGTTCATGATAATTATGTGCATTTTTTAAAAATTTCTAGACGGAGAGTTCCAGTTCCGGGTCGGGGAGAATGGAACGCATACGGCCGGAGAAAACGCCTCGACAAAGAGTGCAGTCTGTCTGGCGTAACGTTCGCTGGGCGGAATCATTTCCTGACGAATCTCTCAGCATGGAATCTTCGGAATTAACTCCAAACTTTGCCTTACGAAGGATAGTATTACTTTTCGAGACCAAAAAATACGACGAGTGCGCCACTCTCATCCGTCGGTTAAATTGTGTTACTTTTGGAAATATTCTTCAGGAGGTTCCGATGGAGGTCCTGTTAGATTCCATGCCTTTTAGTCTTTCTATTTTAGAGGCCCTCTATGTCAAACTTTATGAAACCACCCTGGAGACATACCCAAAGGAGCACCTGCACATGGACCTCCTCATCAAACGGATGGTGGCTTGTTTCGCCAGAATGTCCCAATCTGGTAACAGAGCTGAGAAAAACTGTAACAGCTTCTATCCCTCGTGCAGGAATATCTTACGTGTTGTTTCTTATGTTGAACCGAATGTAAAGCAACAATTAAAACAGAAAAAGAAGGCTTTAGACAGGTGTTTAAAACACATGGGGCAGCATGGCCTTGTCGAATCGTCCTGTGGAAGCCTCATGAACCTTCACGATGCTTTAAAATTGGAATTAGATAAAATTGTCTTTCAGTATCGAAACGCCTTACAAAAACTCGATGAGCTCAGTCTATCAGCAAAACACCCGACTAGCAGTTCTGTCACGTCCGGTAAAGCTCCTACCGAAGTTAGCCACCAAAGACTCGTGCAAATGACAAGAGCAGACGTTCAAAGCAGGATTATTAAAAACAAAACCTTATTCAACATTGTAGAACCCGCAGTGACAAATCAGTGCTTGAAAAAGTTATTCCACATTTTGGAAAAACGGATTGAATACGATAAAATTGCATTGTTTCATGACACCGAGCTTCGCAAACATTGTGATAATATTTCAGAGGAGGCTTATCTGTCTGTTATCATGAAGCAGTTTTCTCAAGGATACAGCATAGTTTTGCAGCTTTTAAAGGAGGTGTCCGAAATTGATGAGGTAACTTCCGAGGATGATGACGTAGGTATGATTTCCAGTGACGAAGACATAATGACGCCTATCACCCGAATGGACCGATCAAGGACATTCAATGGATTTACGCATATTTTACCCCACAAAGCAAATGGTAAGTGATTTGTAAGCCCAGTTTAAATATATTATATTGAAATTGAAGTCGATTTTGGCTTTGATGACACTGTTGTAAGTATTTTCGGTGGCACAAATATATTTCAAAATTATGACCGTCAATTCATTATTAAGGAGTAAAAAACTGGGGGCAAGAGTCAGTCGCATTGATGTTGGTAAATTATTGGTCTTTATTATATCATAAATCATCATTATATAATTTTCGGGGGAATCTTTTGGGTTGATTTAAAATTCTAACGACCATATCACATTTCAGATGTATTCTTATTCTCTGATTGAAATATCACATATAATGCATGCTTTAACAAAAGTCAGATAGTACTTTAAGACAATTCACCGTAAGACTTGTTTGAATTTCAATGCTTTGTACAACTATTGAATTAGAACATAGATTTGATGTGAGTCAGAGAAATTCCGTGAACGAGTGCAAACACGGATCTCAAACAGTAAAGGACCCTTAAAATTTAATGCATTGAAAATAATAACTAGAAAAGAACTAATAGCGTAATTTCTTTCTTCTTCCATTTAAAGATATGTTGAATTTTAATAATTTTACTCAGGTGAAAATAAACCTAAAATACATATAGATTTATATATAGATTAAATCATATAAGCTAAATTGAGTGCATCATTGACTCAATTAGATAAAAAAAATCACTCTAAAACACAATTATAAGCTTATATCAACAGAAGGAAATTTACAACCAACTAAATCAAATAAATTCTATAGAAAAAGAAATGAGAAACTATTTCAATATATCTCGGTAGCAGGGTAGATTACGTTGTATGTTAAGAGAACAAACGGAGTAATAAATGTAAATAATAAAAATAATACGTGATATATATATATATATATATATATATATATATATATATATATATATATATATATATATATATATATATATATATATATATATATATATATATATATATATATATAATATTAGCGGGGGGGGGGGGGGGTAGATCATAATATATAAATTCAGTTTAACTCAGATTAACTTTGACGTTAATGACGTAATTAACTTAAATGACAATCTAATACCCCATTCATACGACGAAAATTTGCTTATGTGTGCAAATTTACAGATGAGTAAATTTACACACATAAGTAAAAGTTAATTTGCTATGCGTTCAGACGAGATTTATGTACCGTTAGTAAATCCTCAAATTGTCATTTAAAATAAGGAGATGGACGGCTTCATACTTGTGAATTTTCACAGAATAAGGGTATTTCTTTACTATTTGGGTATAGGACTAACTTTTGGATGTTCTTCAAAAAATTAGAAGAAAAGTCCGATCAAATGATTGGTACGACAGAACCGTTCTTAATGACTTAAAGGACGACGATTGGTATGAGAATTTTCGAATGATTAAGGAAAATTTCGTAAAATTTTGTGAGAAGTTGGAAAATGCTTTGGTCCCGGCCCAAAGACTGTAAGAGAGCCGTTGGATGTGAAGAGGGTGGCTGTTGCCATCTACTGGTTGGCGTCTTCAGCGGATAATTAGGCAAAGATAACACAGTTTTTCTTACGAATATATGTTAACAAAGGGTTCCTTTAGTTCATAGGTTTAGTAATTTTAAGATTTTTGCCCTTATTTTTCTGCTCAAATACCAGTTTGATCTCCAAGATGGCGGCCAAGGGAAAATAACTCGAAGGGAAAATGCGTCATATGAAATATATCTATTTACCAAATGCTGACTTGAAACAAGATTGTTGAAATCCCTGTAACATCAATTTATCTGTCAGTAGCCTGCCTCAGTTTAAAAACTGAGAAAGGATGAAAGTGATCAAAGCTAAAATGTTTTGGAGCAATTGATGGCACACATATTCCTATTATAGCCCTTAAGCATTCACACGGAGAATACTTGAACAGGAAGAAGTTCTACTCATTGAATCTGCAGGGTGCTTGCGACCACAGCTATATCTTTAGAGACATAAACAGGTTTGCCAGGAAGGGTCACGATGCCCGCATTTTTCCATTCGAAAATTTATTTCAGAGTAATGGCTCCTTTTTTCCAGAGTGGAGAAAGGAATTTTGGAGAAAGTACTATGCTTGTACTACTTCTCGGCGACCCAGCATATATCCTTTGACGACCTGGCTTTTGAAGCCATACACCAAGAGATCTACCATTACAGAAACTCAATTCACTTTCAAATTTTGTTTACGTTGGGCTAGAATGACCCTTGAAAATCCGCGTTTTTTAGAGCCGCCATGTATACCGACTGATATTTTACATGCCAATGCATATACAACGCTTAAAATGGAGATTGATGCAATACAAGTGACGAAAAAACTTACATAAGTAAATTTGCTGCGTGTTCATACGACAATCTTTACACACGGGAGCAAATAATTTGCGACGACGTAAAAGTTAATTTGCACCTTGTCCTGACCAGGTGTAAATTTACTCAACTGTGCAGAATTTGCATATGAGCAAATCAGTTTATACAACAAAAATTGCACATGTAAGTAAATTTACATATGTGTAAAATATACTGAGGTATGCAAATCGTGTCGTATGAATGGGGTATAAGATTCATTCTTACCCAAAACAAGATATATTTAGACTACTCTGCTATGCAGTGTCATATTACTTTCAATGAATTATTGATGACAACGGGTAAGCGGGCAAGTTTCTACGTTTCAAAACCATTTAACAATTGCATGCATATCTTTAAATATCTGAAAATGAGACATACAATTCAAATACCGTAATTATATATTCAGTGTTCTAATAAATGTAAGGTATTAATCATATACTTAGACAGTTGTAAACGATTATGCAGTATACAAATGAACAAAGGAAGACAGAGTGTACGGCGAACCGATACCTCCGCGAAGGAGAGAAAAATAGTGTACTGGGTGATACACAGAGGACAGTAACTTGCTTTCTCTCTTATGCAAAGGATCGAGAATGCAGTGATTACAATGCATTTGAGCAGCTAAGCTGGCCTGAAGGGCAATAAAGCGAACAGCAAGAGAGCGAGATCAATGCATTGCTGGCCTAGCTTGCTTTGTTCCTCCCTTGCAATATCGTAGTCATACTCTATAGTTGAGTGGTCCTAGGCTTCTAGCAGTGCATCACAGTAAACTATGTAGAACAAGTTGCTAAGTTGCGGAAGGTTCATGGGATTAAGGATATATGAATGTTACAATGAAGACCGAGTTCAAGCTTAAGGATTTTTGGATGATGGTAAAAAGAATCAGAAAAGACAAGGGTACTAGCATAAACAATCTCACATGAATTGCGTTTTATTATAGCTTCATAATACAGTTTACCTCTCTAGGTCTAATAAGGAAGTTTGGGAATTTAAAATGGCTAGTTTAGATTTTATTCCCCTGTTTCTAAATTTGTTAAGAATTTGGCAGTATAATTACATGTAGTGAATGACAGAGTAAAAAAGACTTCTGGAAGACACGCACTGCGCTCTTCATTCCTATATTTCATATATGCCCTAACTAACTCGTATCAAAGAAAAGGCTCGAAAAATGTAAATTTTAAACATTTTAAACATTAAAAATTCTGTCATTAAAAAAAACTTCGTTTTTTAAAAAAAAAAAAACAAACTCTCGTTTGGGTGACAACAGTCCTGATTAATCTTTATCAAGCCTTCTGGTCCATCGATCACTTAAATGCCTCTTAGCCTTCTTAGGCAAGACCGTTGTAACTTTGTAATTCATAAAAGTTTTTTTTTAAAAACTCAAATGCAAATTGAAACTAGTTGCAAAATATATTTAATGGAATATGCATTGCATGTGCAACAGCCTTTTTTTGTGCAGAACATAAAGATGGCTTTATCGTTAACTACATTCTAATATAAATGGAGTCTGCGTTTTAAACGCAAGGAATAAACGTAATTTATGCCTGCTCTCTGAAAGAATATTTATAACATGATTTTTTTTAAAGTTCGGTTAAAAGATTTTCAAATTTTCTTATTTGATAACAAAATGAACAGCTTCTTATTCGTAAGTCACATAAAAAACAGAAAATAAACGAATGTACATTCTAAAGCAGTGTTTTAATGCGAAAAAAAAAAAAGAATTTGGGCAAATAGAAATACTACGACCCTGTTTTTTTATGATGATGAAGGTTCACAAAGTTATGAATATTACATCCGAATGCCTCATTAGAAAGTCGATCACAGCTATACTGGAGTGCCATATTCATAGCAACCAATGTTCCTTTCTTTACGTGAAGTTTATCCGCCACTTCAAAAGAGCTGTTACCTTTTTCCTATCTCCCACGGTGTTGAAGAGAATCTCCTTAAACAATGTTAAAGAACTGTATATAAAAAGTGATATTACATAACCACCCTAAAAATGTTCTAATTCACGTCAATAGCTCTGATTTAGAGACTTGGTATGTTTGGACATTCACTAATAAAGCATGCTTTATGTGCAGAGATTAAGTTTTGAAGTGTCTTTGTAAGTAAAATGAAGGATTTGTATTTGCTGAATTTAATAATATATCTCCATTTTATGTACCCTCGGTAAAGTTTTGCGAGACAGAGTCATTTTATGCACATCTCCAAGTTTGTATACATCTCACTTAATATTGACAGGCAATACAAATCAATTAAGTTTAGGTCACTTAATTAGGGCATTAAACGTCTCTGACTGCGTTCATACGCGGCGATGAAATCTGTATATGCTTTGTTAAATTTGAATTCATGTCTTTGTCATAACCTGCCTCCATGCACACTGAGCAGAAACAAAAGACGTGCGGAAATAAGTGTCTTCTGCTAATATCTGTCGTCTGTGATAGTCATCTAGGCCACAAGACGAGGGTGTTTATCTTTTTCACACTTTGGCGACTTGTCTAAATCCCCTATTTCATGCTTTAATGAATGTTTTCAGCATGTTCAAACTCGAGTAAAATGAAAAAAAAGGAGGTTATATGTTTTTCTTAAAATTTGATAAAAAAAAGTATATGTTAATGACACCAATTAATGAAAATTTAATGAATGATGTCGTGGAATACTTGGGGGAAATGTCGTTGTGTGCATGTATTGCAGTAATTGCGCAATTCTTGATTTTTATTTTTTTGCTCTACATTTATGATCTAATTTTCTCATTACAATACTACGATATACGGATATAGAATTATTGTCTAACTAACCATATGCGCATTACACTATATATCACATATCTATGGCTAAGCACAATTTGAATAACTCGATGCGGGATATCATATTTTTGAAAAGAAACACGATTCGACGAGAGAATCTCAATGTCATTTGGTACATTGCATTACCACACTGAAACAGGTCCGCACTGATGATAAGTACTTCATGGCGTGCTAGCTCTGGGACCCTCGCCCCTTCACTGTTACAATAGTGTTGATTGATATCCGCGTGGATTAATACCAATATTGGTCCAGTGCCTGCGTGAGGATATTTTTTGCGTGTTTTATCGTCGTACAAAGGTACATATGTGGTTAGCATTGTGGCTGATTCATATGGGCTTTGTTAGGACTTCTTTCTCTACTGAAAAAAAATTGTGCTGGAATAAAATGCCACTTTGGTTCACAGAAAGAAAGACCAGACTTGTAGTCCTTTTTTGTGTGAAGTAAATTGTTACGGATTTTAAATATGAATAGGAGAAAATATTATACGTTATCCTCCGCTTCTTCTGAAAAACTGTCGATGACTCTGTGTTCTAAGCTATGTTCTAATCCTACACATGGACATAAAAAGAGCAGTAAGTATGCTATAAGAAATAATACTGGTGCATTTACAGTAATAAAATGTACACTTAAAACATATTGCTAAAATACAAGCAGTATGTGTACAGTCTTTCATTTCGAGTTACTGGGAATTTCTTTTTTATTCGATTTGAAGGGCATCCATGAATGTTAATTCGACCTTGAGAAGAAAAGTGATATATGAGCTTCTATAATTTTTTTTTTAATTGAAGATTTGGTCCATTTAGCAGATACCAACCTTCTGATGGCTATAGATATAATTGTTGATAACAAATGCATATCATAGTGATGTCATAATGGATAATTAGATTTTATTTAGAAGTCAAACTCACATGGAGTGCGTACATGTAGGTTTGGACAAAAAATATTGATCAAGAAACCTAAAATTTGACCATTCATATTTGCAATTTTACTATTACAACGAATTCTTTTCAAACACAAGATTTATGGAAATTATGAAATTTATTCTGGAAAAAGAAATGGGATGCATGCTCTAATGTATCATCGGTTCATGCATATATGTATTTTTTATATAGCTATCGAAACTGAGGGTTTCAATGTAAAAACAAATATGTGATGTCGCTGACTTAATTAAGAATTTACAGGGACACCAAAATAAACCTTTTCTACAGACAGTCTTATGGTCATATACAATTGTAACATTTCAGTATGACTTCCGTCATTGTGATTAAAACGTACAAAAATATTTCTGTTTCTTGTCTCCTTCAACAATGTTTAAATATTAAGATATTTTATTATGCGACAACGTGTATAAGTGGATTTGTATACAATTAAAATGAACAATAACATTATTTCTAAGCTATAAAATGAATAAGGCCATGGAATTGTTATTCAGTTTCTTTATTTATTTAACGTATTTAGACAAACAGGTGTTTTAAAATGATGTTTTGTTTGTACAAAAGAACGATAACTTTGATTCCCCATGCACAAAAAGTCCTGTCATGGAGTTATCGTTAATTATTAAGGTCTACCTTTTTCATTTGTTTGCTACTGATGTGGTATTTAAAAGAAAAAGAAAGGAAATTTCGACCATTCAATATTATATATAACAGTATATAATACATTCAAGACAGAGACTCCTGGTTTCTTCGAACATTATACAATTAAATATAGTTATGTTAACCTTTATATTTTCAAAAGCAGAAAATATTTTTTGTGATTTTGTAATCTTTTCATTTTGCATTATTTATAACGCTGAAAAAGAAAACTTTAATCACTGTAGGGGGCAGCACAGGTCGTAAACTTCCGGGCATGCGTGGACGTAAGTTTGTGAGAAGGGATAACGCGTGTGACTTGATTGATAAACTCAAATTAATTTATGGTTATGGTTGTGTGACCGGGTTTACTAATTAGTCTTTTATTTAAATTAGATTGCTTAGATGATGGATGGATACATAATTAATCACTCTTAATATGTAACCACTATGTCCAGTCAAGGGATTATTATGATATGGATTTAACAGGATTATAGTCTGTCCCATGAGCACCTTCATCCCAGTTTCGACGATAGCAAAAATATTTTTTAGTTGCACTGAAAAAAATTAAAGTTACAGTGTATATCATTTACAAACAATCTTTTCTCAGACTGGAAACTTAAATAAATCACAGACTACAAACACGATTTTTAGTCGATCTTTGGAAATCTACATGATTATGTCATGTTGTAAATTTTGAATTTACCGGGTGGCAGTAAATACAAAATTTACAACATGTAAATTTTGTATTTACTACCACCCGGTAAATTCAAAATTTACAACATGACAACTCTGGCAATTGCTAAAAAGCAAAGACTGACCAGAGATCGTTCGAATGTGTCCGAAAAATCGATTCTGAAATTGTTTTATGACGTTACTGACAGAAAGTAATAGAATTTGTTTTATTAAAAGGATTCATTTACGATGTAGCGGCCATCTTATCAAAGTTACATGTACATGTAAATCCCCGTAGACTTTGAATTTATTGCTGTGTCAAAAGGTTTTATGTATTTTGAGGTGCAAGTATGAATGCACAATTTAACAATGTTAGTACCGTGAGACAGACTATAACAGCCTTCATAATGTAGAACAGAATTAACTATTATTAATAATTTCATCTATAACAACATATATGTATCATGTTGGATTCAGATACATGAATTGCATTGATATTCATGTTTTTGCGTGTTTTGAAAAATAATTTTAAATTGGTGATATGTAGCACTTCAATAATTTTTTGCAAGACTGATTTTAAAACAAATAACACACCGGGAATGAAACAAACTGCAATTTTTTTCTCCTACAGGGCTTCGCCCTTCAATCATTTCCAGTCCATTTCCATGTAAACCAGTAACAGCGGGCTCTAACGGCCTGACGAATGGTCACGCCACAGTAACCGCTTCACCCCTGTCTTCCCTGACGTCCGTCTTCCTAACTAATGGTAGTCGCCATACCAATGGACATGGACATGCGGACACCGTGGAAAAACTTGAACAGGAAGTTAAAGCTTTAAAGTCTGAACTACAGAAAAGTCAAGAAGCAATCAAGAAACTGCAGGAAAGAGAGAGACAACTGCTAGAAAGGTAAACTGGTCTTGTCATCTGTCATTGGTGAATGAGATATAACTAAATGATTTATGTCATGGAAGATAATAATATTATATAATTTTTATTTTAAGGTATTATGCAATAAAATTAAAGTACTTCAAGTATTTTGTCTTTTCCTTGTCAGCAGGACTAAATTCTCACATTTACTACTCATATTTCAGAACGCCATTGGATGCTCACAGTCTTTATAATGGAAGTTTAAACAGTCATTTTGAGGATCTGTCAGTGACGAGTCGAGCCTCAGAACTTATAGGCCAGTACGGAGACCTTTATAGTATTACCCGTCTGGAAACATTGGACGCTCTAGATGCTATAGGACAGCTCAGTGACCTCTCAGTACTTAAAGAAAAGATTCTGTTCTCGGTAGTTGTGGTAGGTGAATAATCGAGAATCATTTAGCCTAAGAGTCAATTATAACCATTCGAGCCCCTCTGTGAAAAATCAATTAACTACAAGTAGGAGATAACATTTATTTTCCTGTTTTCAAAAAATATAAGACATGTACACTAAAGAAAATATATTACTATATACATATTATTGTTGAAATTATAATAGGTCATATCAAAACAAAGCATTGCTTTTTACCATATTTATAACTCTCCCAACCCGTAAGTGCTAGTTGCCTTCTAAGCTCTTGAGCGATTTTTCTCTTCGACTATTATTAGATTGCTGTTAAATCAAAGTCAAAAATTGGTATAAGTTAGATGTAAATATTGATTTATATATCTAGTCAATATTCGAGAATTTGTTTTATTAATTTTTGGGCATTAGAAGTGGGAGGTTAGGCTATATACTTGTAAGAAAGATGAACCCATGATTAGATGTACTCAGTATTTGTTCTTATATGGTTTCAGGGAGACTTTAGCACAAATCTTAGTTTAAAAAAACCCTTATCGCATTTTAAAACAAACTTAGGTCTACAAGAATTGGATAGCGTGTTGTTTAAAAGCTTCACTTCCTTTTATACATGACAGTTATAACGCTATGTCTTATACGGAAATGACCTTACCAAATAGCCATGTTCTTCACGTTTTTTTCACCCATACAGTTGTCCTTTCGTGGCGCTCAGCAGGCTGTCCATGAGCTTAGGGGCAAAGTTCGACATTTACTCAACCTTCCACATCCAGATGCCCAAAGGAATCATTCTGATCCTTTATCAAATCATATGGAGACACAAATTGCTCAATACCTCTGCAAGACAGCAGGAAACTTTGATGTTTCTAAAACAATTGACGTAAGATAGACTTCATTAAAGTTATAGTGCTTAATGGTGTAAACATTCAAACTGAATATATATAAAATATATAGCTCGTATGCGAAAAAATATGTATGCATATGTATAAAATAATATTTTTATAAATACATCTTTAAACCATATTTAAAACAAAATTAATTTTATCATGCAAAATGTATACTGCAATCATACAAATTTTAGCGGTTATCATATTTGAGTGTCTTTTGCTTATCAGTTGTTGAAAAAGATTGCGCTGAATTTTGAGCGCTCTTCTTTTTGTATTCTTAATATAGTATTTTATACGTTTTGTTTTAATTATAGGAAGTTTGCTCACAAATCTACGCAACATTGTATGACTATCCAGTTTTGAAGGACTGTCAAGGATTAAGGCTTTACGTATCTTCGTGTGTTCAGATTGCATGGGGACTGTTTGTGCAAAATCCGCCCTTCCTAATCATTTACGATGCACGGCAGTTTCATCCTGAAATGCATACCCGACATCATTCCTCAAATCCCGAGTCCGAGGAAATTCAAAACTTTGTGTGGCCTGCTCTCACTGAAGGCTATGGTGGTCCATGTGTTTATAAAGGAGTTGTGATCACGTGAGACCTAATCCCAGAGGTTGATGAGAAAACAATGTGCGAAATTTGGAATAAATGAAGTGTAAATGAGATATGCTTGCTGTATCATATGTTAAAACGGTGTATATCCCTCGGTATCAGTGAAATGTAGCAACTCAACATACGGTTTACATATAATATTTCAGATAATGTTGATATAAGAAAAATTTAAACTGAATTGAAAGTTACTCACAGTCACCGTCGGGTATAAATTTGATACCAGAACGTTTCACATATGAATTCGGGTACCAAGTTTGAACAAGACAGTCCTAAACAACTATGATTCGTACATGTTGCACATTACGTTACAAAACGTTTAATGACCCTCCATGCACTGCACACTAAAGAGTTCTAATTCCATGGTATTTTCCTGCAGTGAGAGTGATCTGAACTTATATATAAAATAAATGAATTGAAATCTTCATCATATTACTCTAACTGTAATCAACTCAAGCATTTTTAACAATTTATTAGGCCAAGATAAATTAATTGAACTCCGTATTTGCATGACTGCAATCTGTTATTGATAAAGCATACCCGTGACATAGGATTATGGGTGATATCCACCACACGCATGAGATTATTAAACACTTTATTTGCATGTATTTTCCCTCATTTAAATAAGCATCAGTGATTTGTGTTCATCAATACTATGTTGTCTTTGAAATTTTTTCGTGAGGGCAAATGCATGCAGGTTCCCTACGTTCAAAATGGAATATATAGGCCCAGTATTTACATCTCTACAGGATATATTTTTCTTATTGTCCAAAAAACATTTTTCATTTGTGTATAGAGGGTCCTTAAAATGAAATTTATCAAAATACGCGGAAATGTAATTTGGCCGAGTGACTGATGGGGGATATACAACGTTCATGATATAAATATACTTGCATTTATGACATTTTCAAAAGTGAAAAACCGTAATTTATTTCATCATTTGTTAACAGGTACATATTCTTAGTGCTATTAATTGATTAATACAGTGACTTCGAAAATTATGGAGGGAATTTTGCAATAGCCAGCATGATAAGAAGTGAAATGGCATTTATTGTTATGAAGGGAATCCGTGCATTTATATTGTTTACAGCATTTACATGTAAAGCTTGAGATCAGAAGGCTCAACTATCGCGAACACCACCACCATCTTCCAAACGTTTATTTTTTGAAAAGCTTAAAATTGCATTATTTATTTGTACTGTTTGATTCTAATTTATATTTGTAATCATTTTCAAAATACATGTAAAACGAAATAAATAATCTACATCTAATCGTGTTTTGTAGCCTTAGCGATATTAAAGAAAACAGTGATTAGTATTGACCAAGAATAGCATTTGAATCTAATGAGTGACCACGTGATACTTCAAATCAGCTATAATATCAAATTTCACAGTATTATAGTAAAAAAAAAACAAAAAACTAGAGGACAGAGGTTATGCTTTAGTATGACTTTCATACACCCCCTTTTCTGTCTGTCCATTTTTAAGAATGCGCCCTCCTTGCACTTTTTAATCTAGTTCTACTACTAGGGTGCAAGTGGCCTGTCCATGATTTTAGATTTAATGTTGCCAATGTTATTAAAAGTGGAATAGTCAGCTATGTAATTTCAAATTGCTCTTTTTACCAGATACCTGTCCCATGTCTATTTAATGAGGGAGTGGGAGGGCGGGGACCCAGGGGTCATCAGATTTTGCCTGAAACCAATAAAACCTCTAGTGGTTACAGAAGAGGCAGTTTCAAATAATATGATATATTATTTCCCATTGTGTTTTGTTTGATTAAAATATCAAAAATCTTAGCATAAATAAAAAACAAAAGGTCCATTATCCTTGAGGGTCTGCTGTCTATTATATAATACATGTAGTACATGTATATGTGTCAATAGTGTGTCAAGAAGAAATATTATGTTTTAATATTTAATATATTATATTTTAATAATACATGTACTACATGTACATGTACCTAGTATATTATACAAGATCTTCCATAAAACATTACAATCAATTTAAATTGAATTCAGAATCACCCGGTAAAAAAAAATTAAAATAAATAATTAACATTTGCAAAGTTTGACCTTATATCTGGAATTCCAACACGCGAAGGTATTTAAAGCCCTGGTCATATTCGGTGGTCAAATGGGGGAACATAAAAACAAACTATGAATATTTGATAAACAGAGAGGAAATATTCTTTGACATACAACCATAAAACAAAGTATCATCAGGAATTACTACTTTCCAAATTTGTTCAATGTTTAAAATCTGCTGATAAGACTTTTATGATCACCAGTCGCCGAGTATTAAGAATGAACCACTGTGAATAATAAAGTGATAATTAGAAATAGGTAGAGACGGTTTGTTTTATTGCCGACCCATGAATCTCAAGAGGGTGAATTATTACTATCTTATACACTTTCAGGAGATTTATTAAGTGAAAGAAAAACAGGATCATAAAACTAATCTAATTATTGGCTTCTTAAAACTGTGTCAGTTTCTATGTGATCGTGGTATAAAATCAGAGCCAACCAATGTAACTTCTTTACTTTGTTTAACCTCACCGCTACCCCTGTTAAATTCACTTAAACGGCACAATTTATGTCGGGTTAAGATTTTGTTTTTGGTTAATGGAGTTTATCAAATTAGGAATTTCTACTCATTGTTTATACTCAACCGATGGATGTGTGTTTTTGGATGCTTCGTGAGCATGCATGAATTTATTAGATGAGATTTGAACATTAAAAGTTCGAATTTACCAATGGCTTTGATTTGTATGACATAAGAAAATCGTGAGAGAAATTGACACGTAGGATCATGACAACACATAGGAAACTAAAATACAGCGTGTCCGATGCTAGCCGTCGCATGTATAGAGATGAAACCAACGGGATTTATAGAAAGCTCGGCAATCCATGGCCCACAGAAAACCAACTGAGACAACAAAAATTTGAGGCAAGGCAGCGGCCACTTAGTCACATTTTGGCCTCTAGTTCCTTCAGAGAAGACTATAACAGGGAACCAATAACCAGGGGACAGAGTTTAAGCAATTTGAAGAAAGCACGGTTGAGAAATTCACTGAATCTACCCCATAGTTTTTCTTTGGATTTAGAGTACGATGTGGATGCAAATGCAAAAATAGACGACGGCTTCTTAGCTAAATCTGGGAATCTAAGAGATGTAACAGTCTCTGGGGATTCTGCTTTTAATTTTGTTCCAGAGAGGGATATAATATCTCTAGGAGACATTTCATCCTCTCACGTTACAAACTGCCGTGCCCTCCAAAAGACCCCAAGCGTTGGAAGTAAGAGATCTAGCCTTAGATCTGACAGAATCCGAAAATCATCATCATCATCATCAACATCCTCTTCCATATCGCGAAGCCAATCATCTAAGTCACGATCGTCCTCGCCAAAAACCAGGTACAAAACAAAGGACATTGAACATGTACTTGATAACGCAACCGACAGTGATAGCGATGAATCATCCAAAATCCACAAGGTATTACGCAAAAGGCCTTCGTTCAAGGAAATATTTCCAGAACCTGTAAACCAAGAATTTATGGACAAATCTGTTGAAAGAAAATCATTTGGTAGATTGTCATTCTCGGAGCAAGATACCAATAGAATTTTCGATTCGGAAGTAAGTATCCAGACAACAGTCAAAAATGATTCTAGTTCTTTAGGAAAAACTAAGCTAAATACATCCCTCTCAAAAGATTCCGGGGAATCAGACTCTTCGGACTCTTCAAAAATTGCACGTCAAGTATTTGACTCCACTGACCATTTCCAGCCTTCACGTAGCTTCTTATTTCCTGGAACTGTAAACAGACCAGAGACGACAACTTCAGATTCCGAGTCTTCGTGCAAAGAAGGCAGTTATATTTTGGACTCTGAGTTTTACCCGTCAAAAGGGCCGTGTGTCTCTGTCAACTCACCTCATTCTTTACCGATTTCAGCTGATTTGCCTTCATTGAACAACACTGATAGTGAGGATGATGGTAACTCCGATATCAAAACACACAACCATAAAGCTTTGAAAGGAAACGTCAAACTGGACAGGTCGGTGTCCTCGGAGGACGGCTCTCCTCCACTTCCACAAAGTAACCCTCCAGACGTTATAGAAAAAATAAGTCTTCATAGCTATGCAGGAAATGATAGTGAAAATTCTGAAGTAAAACAAATGGCCTCTGAAAGTTTTGTGAGCGTTGATAAAAACCCAGGTTGTCCAAGGACGGCAGTTGCTTACTATGGTCCTATCTACGCCAGCAATAATACCCTCATTTTACCAACACAGTCATCACAACTGCCCTTCGATCATTTTGGAAAGCAAGGTATTGCTGAAGTAATGATATTTTAAAAGCAGTTTATATACGGATTCCCATCAGTAAAAATATAAACTTTTGATATTTTATGAAATGATGTAGTAACTATACGACACACACTTTGGTTCCTTCATAGTCTTAAGTACTGTAAAATTACTTATTTTCGTGGAGTCGAATTTTTGTGGTTTGAGAAAGAAATGTAGGCTCAAAGGGATTTGATTTCGTGGTGGAACAGTTGAAGTGGTGTAGAGTTGTATTATTTTGAAATTTTAACATTTTGAGGTGTACATGAATCCGTGGGTGCCTTCATAACAAAAAAAAAAATTTACCTCCACGAAAATTAGTGATTTCACAGTATTTAAAGATTTGATTAAAAAAGAATAAGCAGCTGAAACATATGGAAAATTGTCTTAATAACAAGAAAAATTGTCTTAATAAGATCAGTCTTTCAAATTCCAGAAACTCTGTCAGATAAGGATACCTCAAGCAACTCGTCTGGTTCGTCTACGTCATCAAACCATGAACACAAGGTTGCGCTCGAGAATCAAATTTCCGAAAAAGAAAATGACAATGTAACTGAAAATGTAATATCTGAAAAGGTAGGCTTAACCGAAAACACTCCAAACCGAAGTACTGCAATTGAACCACAAAATATATGTACACCAACTGGTTCAAAGCATGAAAATTCACGCAGCATTAATGCAGAAATTCACCAGGTGCTGAAGACCTTAGATAACGCCATATTGGGTGTTTCCGCGGATACTACGGAGCAGGAGACTTTAAAACACCGCGGTCATCATGTCGTGGTGGCCATCGACTTTGGTACCACATACAGTGGGTATGCCTACAGTTTTACAAGAGACCCGTCCCATGTCCATTTAATGAGGAAATGGGAGGGCGGGGACCCAGGGGTCATCAACGAGAAGACCCCCACCAGCATCCTCCTGACTCCAGAGGGTCATTTTCACTCCTTTGGCTACAGCGCTAGGGATAACTACCATGACCTTGGCAAAGAGGAGGCAAAAACGTGGATGTATTTTGAAAAGTTCAAGATGATCCTCCATAACACGCCAGTAAGAATTTATACGTAGACTTTCCCTTTATTCAATAATGTCATATGCTTGCTTTAACTGTTTAACCAGTTATATCCTAATAAAAGTATTACATTGTATTATTTAATTTGAGACCATGGAGTTTCTATTGAGATAATCATACAAAAATGCACATGTGAAATTTAATAAGATACATGCACTTTTAAAATAATCATATTTCTTAAAGGTGTAGCTCAGATGTGATGATATTAAATATTTTTGTATTTAGAACAATATCGAAACTTACCCAAAAAGTCGCATTTATTCTTATTTTATTCGGGCATTTTTTGTTATGACTTCTTGATTAATAAAATCGCCCTTCTATATTTCAAGGAATTAAGCAAGGATACATTACTTAAAGCCTCTAATGGAAGACTTTATCCAGCAATGGCTGTATTTGCCCTGGCTCTGAAGTTCTTCAGGGACCACGCCCTACAAGAACTAAGTGACCAATCAGGAATGAAGATTCTCAATGAAGACGTGCGATGGGTCATCAGTGTACCCGCAATATGGAGAGCTTCGGCAAAACAATTTACCAGACAGGCTGCTTACGAGGTCAGTAAGCTCTTTCCATTTATGTCAAAAAGTTTTATCTTATATATGTAGCTGAATGAGATCGATATGGTACCCCTATTAATGATTAATTTAAAAATTTTACGCATATTTCTAGTGCTCAAACATCGATAAACTAGACCAGTTAAACATAATTTTAATTCTTGTAGGGTGGTTTGGTTTCCTCTCAATGTCCGGAGCAGCTGATCATTGCTTTAGAACCCGAAGTTGCTTCTGTCTACTGTAGAACGTTAAAAATGTACCAGCTTGTTCCGGAAATAAACGAAGAGCGCCCTCTTCAGTCACCAAAATTTGCCTCTGTTGAGCCAATGAATATGAATCCTGCTTGTGAGGATTTGAAAGAAGGTTAGTATATTTTGTACACTTTCTAATTAGCTGAAGATAAATTTTATTTCAAATGTACAGAAAAAATACAAACCTAATGTAAACAATAGAAATCCATATTCTGTGCTGTTTTGCGATGTGCTGAAATTGCGATTTTACCAATTTGATGTTTTGAGGAACAGTATTGGAAAATGCTTTCTTGTCCTCCAGATGTATCAATTGTAGGAGTAAACGAACTCGTTAAAGGTAATCCTCTCCCTTGCCAATCCCCCCTACTAGATGTGCACGTCCTTATACATCAGTCCTTATCGGTTTTCCAGAAATATAACCACAAATATTAGATCAGAAGGTGTTGTAACTGTTACCTTTTAGATGTCAATATGAATATAACAGAACTAGACCAGAAATAATTCTTTACCAGTTTTGATTTGTGTTGTTTGTTGTGAAAGCAAATAGCTAATGATGTCTGCATGATTTTTCATATCCAGGGGAAATATTACTTTTCATTTACTAGTACATCTTTAATGCCAACCTCAGACTTTATCCATAAATTCAAGTCATATCACTAACTGCGCTCCGTTATTAGCCGACCTGTTTTGTATTCTTATGAAGCAGAATTTTACATTTAGATATATCGACAATGTTTTATCAATTAGTAATGTTCATTTTCATTCCTACGTCGATGCGATATATCCCTTTAAACTCCAAATAAATGACATTACAGAGTCTGACACATCTGTTTTCATAATTGGATGTTTTACTACAGAGAGACATTGATGCCAAATTGACAGCTAAACTTTATGATATCACGTGATGACCTCAACTTTTCTATCGTCTTCTTCCCTTATTAATGTAGCATTATACCATTACATTGTACCATCTGCATATAGAGTTTATGTCTCCCAATTGATTCGATACACAAGAGCATTATCTACGTACGAACAACTTCTAATCTGAGCCAGGCATCTGACAAATAAGTTCATGATACAAGGACATCAACACTCTCGTTTAAAATCAGCATTCTCAAATTTTATGGTCGATGCAAGGACCTTGTCTGCAAATACAATTTATCGTTAAGGCAAATGTTTCGTAAGCTTGTTAGGACATAATTTTCACACTTGTCTACGAATTTTAACGTTTACCCGATCGTGACAAGGGGTATACGGCTGGTGTGACCGGTCGACAGGTGATGCTCACTCCACCATGGCACAGATCCCACCTCTGTTTTCAGAAGTCTGTATTTGCTCTGTTCACAATTTTTACTGTTTGATTGGACTTTTGAGTGATTATTGTTCTTTATTTTAACATTTCTATTTGCTTTTAAAATTAATACATCATCCAGAACGTCATGACAATTTCCAAGTTGTATATCCATATCAGATGACTTAGTTTATATAAAAAAATGAGATACAGTTGAACTTCAGTATCTCGAATATCTATTTTGAGATGTTGAAGCGAATTTTAACTTCAATATCAGGAATCCTCAGATAGATTTTTAAGATTTTTTAAGTCTCAGCGAGTTCGAGATATTGATAAAGTTTTATTTACTTTACTTCGATGGTTTTAAAATAAACCCCTATGCGTACATTTGATATAATGACTTCTTGTTTTAGGCAGCCGTTACATGGTTGTAGATTGTGGAGGGGGGACTGTAGATATAACTGTACAACAAGTAGATGAAGACCAGAAGCTGGTAGAGTTATACAAAGCCTCAGGTGGCCCTTATGGGTCAGTAGGTAAGGTCATCTGGCAGACTTATACAAAGCCTCAGGGGGCCCTTATGGGTCAGCAGGTAAGGTCATCTGGCAGAGTTATACGTAGCTTCAGGGGGCCCTTATGGGTCAGTAGGTAAGGTCATCTGGCAGAGCTATACATAGCTTCAGGGGGCCCTTATGGGTCAGTAGGTAAGGTCATCTGGCAGAGTTATACATAGCCTCAGGGGGCCCTTATAGGTCAGTAGGTAAGGTCAGAAGCTGGCAGAGTTATACAAAGCCTCAGGGGGCCCTAATGGGTCAGTAGGTATGACTAGAAGCTGGCAGATTATTAAGAATGTCATGAGGCCCTTATGGGTAAGTATATGTACGTGGGTAAGGCAAGAAGCCGACAGATGTATACAGAGCCTCAGGAGGCCCTTATCAGGCCCGTAGGAAGGAATTTCAGTTTTGGGGGCACAGCCACATTTTCAATAGTGGGGGGGGGGGCACTATCAACTACCAAAACTCTCTTGACAAGCAAAAAAAAATATTTATTGAGGGGACACAAGCATATAGTAGCTGTGTTTTCTATTTGTATTCTATATATCGGCAAAATTTTTGGGGGATCAGGGGTGCCCCCCCCCCTGGTTCCTGGGTAATGCCAGAAGCTGACAGAGTTATAGATAGCCTCAGGAGGCCCTTATGGTTCATGAGCTAAAGCCAGATGTAGTGGAGATGTAGAATGTACTTCACATTCATAATTATATTTATAACATTCACGGTATAATTTTACAAATAAATATATGCAATTATTTTTGTACTTGGAATGAATCATAAAAGGAAATGTTTGCAAGGAAATAATATTGCATGTTTTATTTGTAGTGATGTACTACTAGTATATTGTGTCTAATTATTTACTAATTACACATTACATTAAAGGTATCGATTTGGAATTTGAGAACGTTCTTGGTAGGATATTTGGTAAAAACTTCATGGAGAATTATCGTCAGAAGTGTCCTGCTGGATGGGTCGATTTGATGATTGCTTTTGAGTCCAGAAAACGCTCAGCCAGCCCGCACAAGTTATCTCCTCTTAACGTGGCCCTTCCGTTTTCATTTATCGATTACTGCAAGAAGCACAAGGTGATCTAACCAAACACTTCTGCTTCATGAGTATTTTACCAAATTCTATTACTGTCATTTGTGCTACATTAAATGTTTTACAAATATATAAAAATCTTCTTTAACATATAGCTAATTAGTATGGAGCACATCATTAAAAAATATGGAGATAAAGATATTCAATGGTCACGTCTGGGCATGCTCCGTCTGACACCGGAAGCGATGAGGAGACTATTCCTTCCAACAATAAATAAAATCAAACAGGCTGTTGGGGATGTGCTTAACGCCAGAGGAACTAGGGGTAAAATTGTACATCATCAGTTGTGTTTGATAGCCTGTCGGGCTCTAAAAATTGTGACATCACTCAAAATGAAGCATATACTAAAATGTGTTATATTACAAGAAATGTATTCATTCGTTATAGATCTAAAGTATATGTTCCTAGTCGGAGGTTTTGCTGAATCAGCAATTTTACAAGACGGAATCAGAAAAGAATTCGGTTCACTGTTAAAAGTGATCATCCCTCAAGGGGTGGGGCTAACGATTCTGAAAGGTAATAGGGGTTTCATGTGGACTAGGATAGGCAGGATCAATATCAATAATTATTATTGATCTTGTCTAGACATGACTACCACAGACACAATCTAATTAATACAAATCCTATAATGATATTTGTGTGAATCGGGGCCTGTTTTACTAAAGAACTTAAGACTAAAAACTTAAAGCAATATGAGCTGCATTTTTGAGAATTTTATTTTGCTGTTAAAATGTGTTATTATGATAAATTTGTATGTAATTTAAGCCTTTTTGATCAACTAGACGGAAATAAAGTATCAAATTGTTTCAGAATTTTGGATTCTGTACAATCAAATATATAGGATTATATAAGAAATCAATATTGTACAGGACGACAATAATGTAATTTTGCTTCAATCAAAGCTTATAAATATATAGTTCTTCCATCGTAAATATAAACAACAGAAGTTTATAAACATTCTTTTTTTTCTGTCATTGAAAAAGTTATTACAATTTTGCAACAAACATTTCTGACATCAAAGTTGCAGCTCATATTGCTTTAATTAAGTTGATTGTAATATCATTCTGTTAAAAATTGCATGCATAGATAGATACATCTTTCTAAATGCTTTTTAAACTTCAGAACCATATTCAGATTAATGATTAACAGAAAGCTATTTCCAAAATGAGAAAGTGACAATTTCTTTTATAAAACGGGACCCTGGACTGTATTTTAAAAATATCATTTTGATATTTAGCGTTTACTTGTTTTATGTTAACTAAATGTTAATTGTACTTCACAGGCTCTGTGCTGTTTGGATTGGATCCTACTGTGGTCCACGTTAGGAAATCGCGGGTGACGTATGGACTGGGTGTTCTGAACACGTTCAGACCAAACCTACATCCCGTGGAAAAGAAAATGGTCAAAGGCGATACAGAATGGTGCATGGATATTTTTGATAAATTTGTTCTCGAAGACCAGCCTGTGGCTTTGGGCGATGTAATATTGAGGAGTTATAGGCCAGCCTGTCAAAATCAGAAGAAAATACAGATTAATATATACTCTGCAGAGAATCCAGACACTACATTTATCACGGATACGGGAGTTCAGAAATGCGGCATTCTTTCCTTGGATTTGGAGGAAGATTCTGTGTCCGAGTTATCTAGGAGGGAAATTCAAACCAGGATGGTGTTTGGAGAAACGGAGATCCGTGTTAGTGCCCTGGATGTGTGTACAGGCCATCGTGTCCAGGCGGTTATTGACTTTCTGAATTACTGAATTATCATCCCTCAACTACACAATCTCAAACGAAACTACTTGGTAATTACACATTCAAATTGACATGGCTTATTAAAGGATATATAGCCATGGATATATAGCCATTGTGTTCATGAAGATGTGTGCAAAGAAAGAGATCATGACTTCGACATAATTTCAATGCCATGCTTAACTCTTACTAGTATTTCAAATAGTTCTACCTCAAAAAAGTTCTTTGACTGCTTAATTGGCTGCATTAGATAGACGATGTGGAACAGATTGTTTTAAGTCTGGCCGTCTAAATATGAAATTACATGTAAACGTGAACTTTAAGAAAAAGACTTGAAAATACGTAGTCGAACACGATAATTAAAGGTGACTTACATGTAAAGAAATAGGTCACGATCTAGTAAAGACTTGAAAATACGTAGTCGAATACGATATAATTAAAGGTGACTTACATGTAAAGAAATGGGTCACGATCTAATAAAGACTTGAAAATACATAGTCGAACACGGGGATTAAAGGTGACTTACATGTAAAGAAATGGGTCACGATCTAATAAAGACTTGAAAATACGCAGTCGAACACGAGGATTAAAGGTGACTTACAAGTAAAGGAATAGGTCACGATCTAATTACTTGTGTTTTGTAAATCTTGTTTCAGTTACTCATAATTAATAAATGTGTTTCCCAAAATTTTCAGTATTCTTGATCATGTACCATAAGTCATTTCTTGATCGGCTACAAGGTCACAAAAGATAACCAATGTACAATGTAAAGAAAATATTAGCTATTAAAAGTGTGACAGTATATGATGGGGGATAACTAATAATTTTTAAAGGTTTTCAAGAGAAATATATTTGTCGTTGACTAATACTATAAAATCACTATTAAAATAAAAGTTTTCGTGGAAATATAATCATCCCCTCGCAACGGAATTGGAGGGGATATAGTAACGCGCTTGTGTGTGGGGAAAGGTTAGTTTGTCCTTGTGTGCGTAACGGAAGTTACGTAATTTGCATCGGGATCGATGTCGAATGCTGCCTTGATTTATAGATATGCTCTTTTGTGAGGAGATGCTGCGCTTTGCAGTGTCCTTGTTTTCATATCATGGTATGAAGGGACACACGAATTCATGTCCTCCATGAAATTTCAAACACCTCAACCACGAAATCAAATCCCCCTGAACAAGTGTTTTTCCTCTAACCACGAAAATTTGACTCCAAGAAAATGTGATTTTACAGTATGCGGGGAATACTCGTCTGTCTAAAATATTTCTCATAAAAGAATGCTGCTATAAATTGCCTAATTATCGAAATTCACAAAGGAGCCTAAAACCACCAGTATATATGGTTCGGAGTCGTTTTAAAAGCATTTTAACTCGCCAACTTTCTGGTCACCCGTTGTCCAGCGTCCGTCCCATATATTTAACTTCTTCCACTAGGCCAATTTTAACCATAGTTGGTACAAAGCATCTTGGGTAAAGGGGAATTTAAATTATTCAAATGAAAGGTCAGACCCCCTTCTAATGGGAGATAATCCAGAAAAAGCAAAAATAGGGTTGGGTCGTCAAAAATCTTCTCAAGAACCACTTGGCCAGAAAAAAAATGAAACTTATGTTGAACCTTACTGAGGTAGTGTACAATCTAAATCTATTTTTTTTTTTTCAAATCATGGACCCCCGGGTAGGGTGAGCAACAATTTTCACATGGAAATAAATAGAATTTTTGAAAATAAATTCTCAAGAACCACTGGACAGAAAGATGAAACTTATATGGAGGCTTCCAGACATAATGTATGTTCCAACTTGTTCAAAACTTGGCCCCAAGGGGTAAGGTGGGATCAAAGTTGTACATGAGAATAGGTAAGAACAAATCTCTAAAATCTTCTGAAGAACAATTTAACTGGATCAGTAAAGATAAAACTTACGTTAAATCTTTCTGATAAATTGTAGATATTAACTTGTCCAATAAATGGCCCCCGGAGGTAGGGGTGAGGCCACAATAGGAGATTAAAGTTTTACATGGGGCTTTATTAGAAAAAAAGAACCACAATAGCACTAATAATTTGCAAATATTTCGCAGTTGTGTAGATTATTTTTTTTTAATTATGGACATTGGCTTAGAGTTGGCCAAAGTCTGGATTAAAGTTTACATAGTGCATGTATAGAAAAAACTTTTCTTCTCCATAATTGCAAGGCCATGTTAGTCATATTGAGATACATCTATAAAGCATCTCCATGTTGTGTGTTCAGAGACCCCTTATAGTTAAGTCTGGGCCATATTTTTATAAATATATAAAATGTCTTAGAAAAATCCGAAGAAGAATGGCAAGGCTAAAGTTACTCAGGTAAACGTTGTAGCCAATGGGCCTCTTGTTCTTGAACTTAAATCTATATTAGCTGTACATATCTTCCACTAGTCAGAGAAATGTCATCATGTAATATTAAAGCTACATATAGGTCCTTTATCTAGAATAAACACACACTCGAGATAATTCAATAGTCAGGGACAGCTTATTTCATGCAATGTGCAAGAAATTATTTTCATTAACCTTATTCGTTGTTTGTAGAGACTGACAAGAAAGTGTTCATAATTTAGGCAAATTTATTTCAAATTAATAATATATTTGAATCCATAAAAATAAACTTGTATAATGCAAGTCATAAGCAACAAGAAACAATAACACGTGATAATTTTACACAAAAGTTCTAAATAAGCTATTCACATTATATTTACAGCTTTGTTATCACAATTTACATGCAGAATTTGCACAATAGAAACAATATACATAGCATGGCACATACAAATATTTATTTACTGTCTTTAGACACTGTAATCACGGATTAAGTAAAATGTATATTATCAAAATAAATAAATCCTGTAGGAATCATTGAAAGAGTTTTATCTCTTTCTACAAAGAAATAATAAAATGTTTGGAATTGAAAGAAAAGTAAAATTAGCCACAATTTGGGTTACTATTTATATCTTAGAGAGGGCAGTGTTCAAAAGTTTTAAAAAATGTTGGAAGAACTACTTACAAAGATATACTGGATCACTTTATAACATTAATCTCGATTACAAATATTGGCACCCACGAAGACCTGCCACGACGATCTGCAATTTGATTTAAATGACTTCTTTCTGAATGAAACATCCTTGGCAAAGTTTGTTCTACATGTATACACTCAGTGGCGGATCTAGGGGGTCGGGGGACCGGACCCCTCCCCCCGGGGGCCCTGCAATTTGCAGTTTTTAATTTCAATTTAAAAGTAACGAAAAAAATGTCCGTGAACCCCTCCCCCCTGAAAAGACGGACAAGTGTAAAAAAAAATTACTACAGAGACCCCCCTCCCTAATGAAGAATGGTAAAGTTTTAATTATTCTTTATTTTTATTTTTTATTTAATTATTATTATTATTACTTTTTTTTTGCTTTTCAAAAGTTTTCCCGAGTCCGACACATGGACCATCCAGGAAAAAAAATACTGGATCCGCCCCTGATACTTAAATCTTTGAAAATAATTTGGAACACAAAAAAATGTGCATTGTGTTTTGCTGGTTCCCTCATTTCGTAAGGCTATGTTTATGTTACCCTGACAGTCAGTAGGCTAGGTTTACGGTACTCTGACAGTCAGTTGGCTAGGTTTACGTTACACTAACTGTCATAAGGCTACGATTACCTTACTCTGACAGTTAGTTGTCTAGATTTCCGTTACTCTGGCAGTCAAAAGGCTACGTTTACGTTTCACTGTCTGGCACAAGGCTTTATCCTGACAGTTAAAGGTTACGTTACTCTGACAGACGGTAGGCTTTGTTTACGTTACACTGACTCCCACAAGGCTACGGTTACGTTACTCTGACAGTAAACTAGATTTACGTTACTCTGACAGTCAGTAGGCTAGGTTTATCTTACTCTGACAGTCAGTAGACTAGGTTTATGTTACTCTGACAGTTAATTGACTAGGCTTACGTTACTCTGACAGTCAGTAGACTAGGTTTATCTTACTCTGACAGTCAGTAGACTAGGTTTATGTTACTCTGACAGTTTATTGACTAGGCTTACGTTACTCTGACAGTCAGTAGACTACGTTTACATAAATCTGACAATCAGTAGGCTAGGTTTATGTTACTCTGACAGTCAGTTGGCTAGGTTTACGTTACTCTGACAGTGAGTAGACTAGGTTTACGTTACTCTGACAGTGAGTAGACTAGGTTTACGTTACTCTGACAGTGAGTAGACTAGGTTTACGTTACTCTGACAGTCAGTGGGCTAGTTTTACGTTACTTTGACAGTGAGTTGGCTAGGTTTACGTTTCTCTGACAGTCAGTGGGCTAGTTTTACGTTATTCTGACAGTCAGTAGACTAGGTTTACGTTACTCTGACAGTCAGTAGACTAGGTTTACGTTACTCTGACAGTCAGTAGACTAGGTTTACGTTACTCCGACAGTCAGTAGACTAGGTTTACGTTACTCTGACAGTCAGTGGGCTAGGTTTACGTTATTCTGACAGTCAGGAGACAGAATAGGGTTTACGTTACCCTATCATAAGTCTAGGATTATTTTACTCTGTCTTTAGGTTAGGTTTACGTTCTCCAAAAGTCAGAAGGCTAGGTTTATATTAGACAAGCTGTGTTTACTTGACTCATAATGTCAAAGCCTAGGTTTACAACAGAGAGCAAATTAAATCACGACATCAATTTACGTTTAAAAGTTTTAATTTTTGTCGTTATTAGAAAACAGCAAAATAAGAACAGTTCAGAAGATCAGAATGAGAAAATAACTGCTGTTACATGGAAGACTGTACATTGTGCTCTTATTCCCCAACAGTGTTCTCAGCCTATAGATAATTTACGTCATTCTTGTTAAAACTTTTAAAATTCATCACTTATTTTAGGTATATTAAAAGGTAAATAACTAAATCAAAATTTAATTGGTAAAAAAAGCACATCTTCACAAAGAGGGGACTTCTTACATTCTTGAGATGGTTATACTTTTTTCTGCCTCTACCAGAGAAACCAGCTTCGTTGCTTTGTGAGAGGAGGCTTTGCTTTGGATTCAGGTTTTTCCACTTTCCGTGACTTATCTTCTCCAGGAAGGGTAACTCTGCTAGGTACGTCCTCACTGGGGGGATTCCCTGGCTGTCGTAACTTATGAGGAAAGTAGACCCCCATTCTTGGACCCCTCATACTTTGACTGTGCACAGCGTACGTGGATGATGTGCCTGCCTGTCTGTCTGCGTTAACGGAGCCTGGTTTCTTGACAAACATTGACTTACTTAACCGATCATCCTGTAGAAGAAACGGCATTTTTTATGATGATATACACATATTTTCATTATTTTGCTAAAAGCACTGTTAAGTTTTTGCAAAGCACTTTAAAAATTTAAAAATATACCTTTCAATAAAGCTGGGATTTTTGCCTCATGAACTGAGCAGTTTATTTTTATTTTTCTCTCTTATTAGCATGATTAGTGGTTGTTTTATCTGACATTTTTTTTACATGTAACGTTAGAGATGAATACATCATTCAATCACCACAAGTCCTCAGTGGGGCATGAGAAATCGAAAGTTCAAAGATTTTGAATCCAGCTTTAGTCTCCAAAACATTCTGACCAACTCGAAAATTCGGTTTGAAAATTGCGAATTCGAATACACGCACTTCATCTAATGCATGTTTCCGGCGACATGCCAGATCATTTGGTACTTAGTTTAATTACTCGTTTTATGAACCGCGTCAGGGCTGAGATACCATTGTTTACACACTTCTTTTAATTTTGATAGGTCTTTATGTCAAGAAAGACTGAAATACATTCAATTTGATAACCAAGTTATGACCCTGAAATTCATTTCATATTTTCAATACCATGAGCCTTGTCCAGAGGACCTCTTATGAGTGTGTGTCAGTCTTTTTCACCTCTACCCTACACTTCATTGTTTGGCAATGAACAGTCACAATGACTCTTTTCTCATAATAATCTTTGTCAAGAATTATCAACTTCTAAAAACCATTTCCTTGACAAAACTTCATCATCAATCCTACCTACTGAGAAAGAAGTACCATATCTATTGGTATGTTTAAAAACTTTTATTTGATGAACGAAAACTGATTCTAATCATTTTTCTGGAATCTTTAACTGAACCATAAAATCAAAGTATTTCTACTTACAACAAAATGTAACAATCTAAAAAGATATACATAAACACAGGAAGTAAAGCATATCAAAGCTTGAAAAAGGTTTCTTTGTAGGTAAGGACAATAAAAACTTTAGAAAATTTACATCTTGTAAAATTTTCTAAGCACAAGATTATTCACAAACAAATTTTCTTATCTCCCACATAGAAGAGTTACATTGCTACTTCTTCAGTATTTCTTTGAATTCTTTCAATGGAAATCTAAATAGGAATTTTTAATTGTGAAAATATAAAAATAAGACTCTTGAAAATGTTCCCAGAAACTTTATAGTAACAAAACTTTATATTTTCTGAAAATTTTCAAAAAGTATACTGAATTGTAAAGTTACATCATTTCCCCACTTTTCAAAATTATGTGGCTTGGTCAAACATAAAGTTGTTGAACTTATAAACAGAGATCACTTCTTAAGTGAGAGAGGTACCTATTTAAGCAAAGATGATTGAATTTTGGAAGAAAAAAATTGTTTTGTTTTATATATCCTTCAAAGAGCAGGTAACTTGTTTGTAAACACTTTTCAATGGCCTACATATGTAGATTGGATTTCAAGTAGTGCTTTTTAAACAAGAAATTTTACTTGCACATAATTATGTATACATAATCATGTATATGTATATGCTATACTATGTTTCTTTGAAAATCTTTTATCACGTTATAAAATCTATTCTAAAAAAAAGTCACAGATACGAATTTGAGTCAACTGAATTTCTGCATAATTGTCATTTTAAGATATCAGGTCTTTCTGCGTATTTTATGAGGGAAAAAAAAGTTTATCAAACCACATTTCAAAGCAACATTTACACAAATTTCATTCCAGTACTTCTTACTTCTAACACCAGATGATTTTTTTTTGTGACAACCTGATTTGCTTACTGATTTTAGTTCTGCAGATGATTAAGAAAAAGCTACAGTACACAAACAAACATATACCTACATATACATACAGAAACATGTGTATACAAATACAACAAGATAGCCTGATAAAGTGCATATACAAGTATATTGTAAAGACTATGCTAGTTCTACAATTTGTACACAAGTTGTGCATAATACACATAAACATACAAGTACTTACAGTATCTTAGAGAAAAAAGTATGGACATGCATGGCACATGTATGTAAGTAGTAGATTTCTCATTTTTAAGTCATTAATGGATTTTTACATACATATATATATTTAAGCTGAAATTTTTACATCCAAAAAATTTTATGTTTACTTTTTTCAGAAAAAGAAAACATCTAAGTACTAAGTGTATAGCTGTAAATTCAATGGGTCAGGAAAAATTATCTACCTACAACTACTGTGAAATCACTTATTTTCATGGGGGTTAATTTTTGTTGTTTTTGTGGTATAAGAAGACCAACAAATTCCTGACCTCCATGAAATGATGTTAATTTTTAAACTAGATTATCCTGTTCATTTCTTCAACCAGGTGATCAAATCCCCATGAACCAATAATTTTTTCTCAAACCCCGAAAATTTAATTGGTCCCACTAAAATAAGTGATATTACAGTATCGTGAAACTTGTACACTAGATACATTCATACAATTATGAAAATATAAAACATATTAACAAAATTGAAAAAAAAAAATTATTCATGCATGATATAAAAGTGCAAACGTACAAGTTATAATAAAATATAAAAATCTAACAGTAACGAGCAGTTTGTTATTAATAACTATAAAGGAAAAACCCTCTATATTTGTACATTCATATATATCATCACAAACAGAATCACATTTCATTTTGTTGTCAGTTTCACAAATTAAGTATAAAAGACATTTTAAAGCAATCAATTTGTGGGTAAAGCTAATTATAAACTGTACATACATTGTATCTGAACGCTCTATACATTCAACATAATGTACGTACATGTATCAGCATTATACACATGTAGAATTGGAAAAATATATTGCCTTTAAAGGTTTAATTAAGATATTTTTGTAGCACATAAGAATAGGATAAAGCTGCATTGATTATTTATGGTATATTCATACCTCTAAAGTGAGTATCATCTGATAAATTGTCCAAGTTAAGCAATAATATTTTAAGCTGTAACATTTATTTTTACTTGTAAATATGACTTTAATCAAAAGATTGTGACTATTTCGTACATTTTTTTTTTTTTTTACATAAATCTAAACACTCGCAATTTCGCAAATATTTGGCAATCGCTTCATATCGCACTTTATATGGATATATGGGTTTAATGACATGTAAATTAATTGAGATCTGAATGGTTTATGGCAAACTTACACCATATGATGTAAATACTGATCATTAAATAAAAAGTTTGATACTGAAAATATGAATAGAGGTTTAGCATTTAAAATAAATAGAACTAAAATGAGCTTTTAAAAAAAAATAGAGCATGCTGTTCTTAATAATTTTGTTACCTCCTATTTTAGATAAAATTCATATTCTAAACCTTTAATATGATTTTTGTCCTCATTAATTTTTTTTTTTTTTTAACTTTTTTCATATGGGACCTGAACAACGATTTAAATGCCCTGGTAGTCAGGTCAGGTAAAAAAACAGAATTTAAAAATTATAACCTATGAGAATTTAATCTTTAATAATATTACAATATTTATATACATAAACAGTATTTTAAAATGCATTAATTAAAAATGTGTCTCTTATTAAACTGTAAAAGTTTAAGATTGATCATCAATTAGATGATAATTTTCCATGTCTGTATGATGAAATACTGAAAAAAGTACTGTTTAAGTCTTATTATATTAGCTTACGTTGCTAAAATAATTTACATAACATAACAGACACGTTTGGGTGTAACTATTGAAAATATTCTACAACATTCATGCACTGCTGATGCCATAATATAACAAATCAAAGAAGAAATACAGGTTATATACACATGAATGTTTATCTGCAGTATTATATTGTAAAACACATGAATTTTGGATGCACATTTTCTTATTTTCTTTGTTTAATGTAAATTGAATTTTTTTTTTTTTATCTTTTATAAAATCCCCGTATATCAAAACTGAATTGAAAACATCTTGCTTGTTACATGTTCCGTAAATATAAAACTTAAATATTTGTTTTAGACTAGATGACCTAAAAAATTTGGACTAGTATACAGAATGCTTTCATTTGCTGCAGAACACCATCATTTGCTGCAGAACACTATCATTTGCTGCGAACCCGCTGAAAAGTCCTCCTTAATCTACTTCCCTGTCTTTTAAGCCCTGACTCACTTTGATCTTTAGAAGGAGATACAATAGCTACCTCTTGACTGTTCACGTCATAAGTTACTGTTGGACCTTTCTACGAAAAATAGCCAAATTGTTTTAACAGGAAAAAAATGTATTTTAGAACTACATGTATTAAAATACAGTCTACTTGCTTTTTGTTTGGCAGATTAAAAGAAGGGAGAATTTCCTCAATATTAACTATACCCTGTTATGCATAAACTTTAAATCCAGAATAAAAAGGTTTATTAAATTAATATGAAGATTAAAGTTAAAATGATATTAGTTTATGATTTTCCCTGTTTAATTATGATACAAAGTAGATTTAATCATTAATGTATTGCAGTCATTCCAATCTGGTAAAATGTTTAAAGCTTACAGATAAAAGTGAATCAGAAACCAAACATATTAGCACTTACACTGGTTAATTCAGAATTATTGCATGTAATGAAAATAAAAAAAAAAATAAACACTTAAACATAAGGGCACTATGTTATAGGTTTACAGAAATGACAAGATGGGGCAATGGAGGGTTGGCTAAGACAAGTATTTTGTAAATTAATTGTTGAGTATTTAGCTAAACGCAAATACACACACTCACACACACATATGTAATCAAGTTATGGGTCAGCACACTCTCATTGGGTCTAGAAACACAATGTACTTATATTGTTTGTATAAAATAATAAAAAAAATTTGTGTCTTTAACATACTGGCACTTAGCAACAAGATAATTCAGATATACAAATGACATCACTCTTTCAACAATTATGCCAGCATTTCCCATGCATATATATGGAATTATACAAACAAAGTTTACTATATAATACATCATTCAGGGCTATCAATATCGGAGAACACAATGGTCATGAGGACAGAGATGTGTATGATGAAATATTTCAGTCATGCCAAGTAGAAAGTTGATAATTATTCATGCATGAGGAGGCGAATGGTCCATGCCGTTATATTTCATACCCATTTGTTCTGGGGGAAGACTTTGGTTACGGATAGGTCAACTTCACCCGGCTCGAGGTTACCTCCGCTTTTTCTCTGTGACTGAAAGGAACAGAATCATTGTCAACATCTTCGTTATAATCGTTGTTATAATCATGGTTATAATCGTTGTTATAATCAACTACTGGAATTAGTGTAGAATCTTATAAAGAATGACATGGTCATACATTTTGTAGAAAGCCTACATCATTAACATTTATCTAGAAGTTTGTTGATTTAACTATTGAATGATCAAAAGCAATGAAAAAATATTCCATATAAATATATAAATAGGCAAAATATTTATCTACTGCAGATGCATACATACATATGTTGCTTTTTACATGTGTAGAATGCAAGCATTAATTTATATAATTTTATAACAATTAAATCATTACAGTACAAAGTAATATATGCTCCTATTAAAAATATTTTAAAATTTCCTCTACAGAGTCTCTGTCTGATAACTTTTGTTGTAAGAAATATCTTTATTTGTATAATGATCAGGTCCCTAACAAAAAAGTACTATAGTTTACTATAGTATCAAAGTTTTTTCACTACAGTAAATCAAAGTATTTTTACTATGGAATTCAGATCGTTTTATTTTTTGTTCTTCAATTCATACATGCACATTTTTATATTAAATTTAAAATATTATTTGTATATTCACACATTATTTCCAAATTTTACATTACTGTTATTGAAATTTTAGAGATTTTAAGCTTTGAAATTTAAAAAAAAGTTCCAGAGTAAAGTTTCATAGTAAACCAAAGTAACAAAGTTTTCACTATAGTAAACTATAGTTAACTATAGTAAATTTTTGTTAGGGATGTGTAACATTTTTCCTTTGATGGCTAAATTATTGTTAGTTAATTTCTCAATGGCCACAGTAACTGATAAACAGGCACTCAGTTTTTCCAAAAGTTGAGTACATCTGCCATTAAAATTTACAACCACATACAGGAACATGTAAATCATGTCCATCAGTGTGCTGTGTCCTATTTCTATAGATAAAAATTATAAATACGTAAATCATGACCCTCTCTTTCTGTGTTAGGTGTCATAAAACAGTAAATACCACAAATTCCTTTCACTTTATTTTAGATCAGAATGTAGCTACAAGTAAAGTCATCTCTGAATATAAACAAAAAATCAAACATGCACTGTCACAATGTGTGTTTATCCAGGTTACTCTTAAATTTTCATTGGAAATTGTTATCATGTTAATTAATATCAATAATTAAGTAAAAACATTTAAAAAATATCTTTTAAGATATTTTTTTTTCTGTAAGGGGATGGGGAAGGAGTCAGTGCATAACTACAGTACATGCTCTTCAGCTTAATTAGCTACATGTAATTAGCATATTCCCAAACATTTTAACTAAAACTACTGTAGCCATAAAATCTTAAGTAATTAATTTGATCCCCTCCCCCATTTCATTTTATTCTCATTTTCTACAAAAATAGCAAAACTCATGAATTTCCTTAACATTTATTCTGCGAAAAACCAAATGCTTTTTTTTTTACAGCAAAATCAAGTTTATAAAACAATTGTAATATAATGCTAGCCAGATGATTTCTGTAGCAAAATATAACTGATTAAGCAAAATATATACACTGTACATGTATATAATTATAATAAGGGAGTTACAGACAAAAGCAAAGAAAAATGAAGATACTTTAATTGATGAAATGGGATATGTGTGTATTGGAAATGTTTGGATTTTAAACTTGAGAATTAAACACTTCAAATTAATCTGTAACACATGCACACAAAATCACAATACTCAGAATCGGGAATCATGAAAACCCCACAAAAAAAACCCGCAAGCAAAATCTAATATGACTAAAGCATAATTAAATCCTTAATTAGCTCTTTCAAAATGGAAATCTACATGGAACTTACATATATCGAAATTATATGCACTAAACAAAAACATTAACATGCTTTATCATATAATATAATAAAATAATTCTTAAATACTTGATTACATCCTAAATAAATTTTCCAGTTGCACCAAATATTTCAATTGGATACACATGTATAATTATATTATATCTTTATGTGTAAAATAAGTTAGATTCAAAAACTTCAGAAAAGCCAGAATGCCAGCTCATTTCTCATGTTAATCCTAAGTACCATCCCTTGAATATTGAACGGCTCCCAATATCCATAATCCTATCCAATACTTATCCATATGTACTGTCCCTGAAACATTGCACTGCTCCCATTAATCCTATCTGATACTGATCTACACTGAATACAAACCTTGAAATGTTGCAAGTAAAAACCCTGAAATGATGTACTAATCTACACTTAGTGCAATCTGACATGGTGTACCACTCATCCTTTCCAATACTTATACGATCTACATTAAGTACAAACCCTGAAATATTGTACTACTCCCAATTAATCTATCCAATACTCATCTATACCAAGTACAGTTCCTGAAAAGTACTAAATTACTAACTCCCATAAATCCTATCCAATACTGATCTATACCAAGTACTATCCCTGATATTTAGTACTGCTCCCATAAATCTTATTCAATACTGATCTACCTGAAATGTTGTACTAATCTACACTTACAATGCAAACATGGAGGTGCTGTACTGCTCCCATCAATTTTTTGCAATCTTTTTTTTCTGAGAGTTTATTCAGTTCAATCAATCATTGAATACATGTACTAAAATAAAATTTGAACAAAGGAATGTCTCACCAATTATGTTAATATAGTTACTACATATCCTGAGTATTATGCTCAAAACCACCTACTGGTACACAGGTTTATATAAAAATTCACTTTAAAATAGAACCACACAAACAGCTTGTTGATACTAAAAAATACTTTTATGTTTTTTTTTTATCATCACACTTTTAATAAATTCCCAACATCTTAAGATAACATAGTTTATTACTGAAATGTGAATACTTAAGGAAAATAATCTTTTTTTCTCCTTTACATACACCTTATTCACTATGCAAACATTGTTAACTCACTGCACTCAGCCTTTGCTATCCATATTGTTCACTGAATTAATTTTATGTTCACTGTTCATTCATTAATCATTCAGTGTTCAAAAAAGTAGACTATTAAGGGGCTGTGGCCTACAGTACTGCATCTTAGATCAAATCACAAACTGTCATTAATTTGAATGAGTAAAACAACCTGTAGTTGTCTCAAGAATAGGGATTGTTACTTGTATAACGACCTCAAAATATTGAAGATTGCCAGGCAAACTTCTAATTGTCAGACATTTTTTTTGTATTTGACCTTGTCTTTGACAAATAATAAAACAAATGTGAGATGTTAGTTTTGAAAGTTTAAAACATGTGGACACACTGAAAAAAGTGGACAGCTCAAAAACAATCCATAATCCTCTTACATGTACATATTCCAAATGTCAAGGAAAAAAAAGACAAAACTCCACAGCAAAATTCTACTCTTGCTCCCAATCATTTCCTTCAAAAAGCTGTGGAAAATTATAAACAATCAAACATCCCCCTAACCCCCCTTCACTGTTAAAAATGAGGGTAGTATATTACATGCAAGGATGAACATGAAGGATTACAGAACTGCAGTGACTACTGACTAGAGTAATAAGTGCACCATATCACACCAATAATCAACCTTGTTTTGTGTTCATATCATTGTCTCATACATATGTAACCGAATTGTAGTCGCTGGATCCTGAAAAAACATGCAAGCGTATTTCAGACTAAAGGCATGCACGAAACAAGAGGCCTATCAGCCACATTGCTCACCTTGTATCAAATGACAAATGGATCACAATTAAAATCTCAACCAAAAGAATATAATAATATTAAGTCTACTAAAAAGAAAGTGCTTGCACAATAATTTGGGAAAAAAGTGTTTGTTTGAACTTTTACTTTGACCTATAGCTAATCCTTTTTTTTATCATGAAAAATTCATCAAGTAGCTCAAGGAAAATTGAAAAAAGTTGATACCAAAACAAACCATCACAGAGAAGAGATGGACAGACACAGACATTGATCATCATAGCTAACTCTAGCCTAGCTATGCTTTAAAATAAGAAAGATTGGTCATCTGGATATAAACAAGTCATTTGTGTACAACATGCACAAGATTTCCCTAGTTCTCTGTTAAAACCTTTGACTCAGGCAGACCTTGATCTTGTCAAATTCATCAAGGACTGTAAATTTTTTGAGGTTATTTACAAGAATGATTAAACTGATGTATAATGGAAAGAAAACAGATCAGCAGCATTTTTTTTATTTGCTACATTGTTTAAATTTATTCTCAGAATGATGAGATGATAATAGAGATAATTGACTTCCACACAATAAAAGCATGCCAGATCAAGCGATTAAATTTCCACGTTTAGTAGTTTTGATAAATATTACAATAGTTTGTACTTGATAGTTCTCTCTTGATGTAATATGCTAAAATGTAAATGGCAGTTGTATTTTACATAAATTCTTCCAACATCTTGAGATGAACCTTATCTGTACTTGGACATCAATAATTCGTGGTTTGGACATTATTTACAATAAAGCAAATGGAAATATTTCATACAACCTGAAATCTTGAAAATAAGTTGCTTGAGGCTTATCTTGAATTTTGGTAAGAAAGCAGGCCTGGGTTTATTTTCAGGCTTGGCTCAATTTGGGGGGGAGGGGGGGGGGGAATCCACAAGTACTCTACTTGTAAAGTAAAGTAATTTTAATTCTATACAAGTAGGCCACAGTGTTTGAATAAACTATTATTGTATCTACAGATACCCATTTACATGGCTAACAAGATGTTTTTGTGCAACTTGTTGTTTGTAAATTTTCTCCCAGACCATACAATGGTATATGAGGTATATACTCAAATACTCCTGATTGAGATCCAGTTGTTTGACAAATTCGATCAAAATAGGTCTCTTGTGGGTTGTATGTTTGAAAATTGCACATAAGGACACAATACATGTACACAAAAGGCTTTTACTTCCTGTCATAAAAAAATATTTGTGAAAAAAAAACCAAGTTTATAATCTTGCAAAATTGTTCACCAAAAGCTAATTCACACTATGACCTTGATCAAATGCCTGGATGAGAAATTTGACAAAACTCTGCAACCATAAGCAATATTTCTGTCTAGTATGGGTTTCTTGTGTTTTACATCAAATACACAATTTTCACTTCAATCCTTATGACCTTGTCTTATCGATTCTATTTCAGGATCATGGTACACATTTGTCATACAAGTGTTAACCTGACAGTATCCCATATTCATTCATAACAAAATCACGGCCCAGACATGAACATGTCACTTCCCATCACCCTGACCCTAAACAACAGATTTTAACATAAAATATAACAATTCCTCTGGTTGTAGACTACCTTATTGCCTTTTAGAGTTTCACCCTTCCAAAAGCTGTAGACTTTAGCAATGTGCCTGACAGTATACTAGTATCTAAATATCTCAATTAATATTTTGAAGAAAGAAGTTTTCAAGAGGTCAAAAGTTGAGGTTATATCATTAGATGAATCTTTTCAATGTGTCAAATGAACAAATATTGTTTACCAAGTATATATGAATCTTAGACATAAGTAAACAAGAGAACTCACTGCCTGGTTATTTATAAGTTTTTCTATTGCTGATATCCATTCCTGTACATCTTCTGGGGTATCACACTGCAATGTTCAAATACATTAATACTTTAGTAATCGCTTCAGTCTACCAATTAAGTGTATCTTAAATGCATATATCCTCCCCATTAAGGGCCCCCATGTTTCACAACAAATATGAATTAGTAATAATTTAGATGCAGCTTTAGGAAGGATAACTCTTCAAATCCAAAAAATGAAAAAAAGTCTAAATTAATAAATTTGCTGGGGTCTCATTGGTTTAAAAATATTATTACTTTATCTGTAAATGGTATGGGAATCCCCCCCCCCCCCCCCCCCCAATAATGAAGACAACACCTGCCTTGATAGAATGAAATCAAAAGCCTGAAAGGCTTCAATGACGTCGAAGAAGAAAAACAATTTCAAAAGATCATTTTGAACTTGAAGATAGCAATAAGTCAAGTGAGTGACTCAGGAGAAATAATAAAAAAAATAGTTTTAAACAAAATATCACAATTACAGTCTGGGGCCTTATGTCATGGTCCGAATGGAGCAGGGTTCGAATTGACCAGACACCGTCGAACATGTTTCATGCTAAATTCTTTTCAGTCAGTTGAAGAACTATGAAGGATTTCATAAATTTATATAATATTTTTTCTAATTGCCAATGTCAAAGCGTTGTATTAGTGATTGCATCTAAACTACAACCAAGACTGTTCTGTTACAATTACGATCGAGTTACGATCGGGTGTGGTATACGGTATACTGGGAAATGGAGGAAATAGAGAAATACAGTAATACTGGTCAACATCATCGGTTTTTAGGATAAAGTTGGTCAGAAGATTGTAAAAGTAAAGCTAAGATTTACAAATTCAATCTTTTCAGTCTTATAGTATTCGTGTTTATGTAATTTTGTAAATTATTTTACCGCCTGTTGGGTTGTTTGTGTTCCACGGTTATCGTTCCAAAATGTTATTCATGTCATTCGACGCACCTTTCTGTAGAAATTCATCCGCAACAACCATCACGTTTTTATTGTGTGAAAATAAAACATAATATCGTTTTTTGTAAAAGAATTAATTGTAGATACAATTGATGCAATTTCATTTTCAAGCTATAATTATTCATTGTGAGCGTTTTAAAAGAAATTGGTTTATAGCTATTGCTATTTTCTATTGCGGATGCATCCACTGACACATTCGGTCGCGTACATCCCTTGGCGATTTCACTTGGCCGATCGCTAGATGCCGTTCGAGCTCCAAGAGCTCGACGTCATAAAAATACATATACATGTACTTTCCTCTTCTCAACATTATTTTTTACATCATCAATATTATCTCCTAGACTTATCGATATCTGTAGCATCCCCCCCCCCAATTTTTTAATATCAGATTTGCACTTTGCACTGAACTCAGGAATGACCGTTATGACTTTCAAATCCCAAGAAATCCTCTTTTCCAAAGAAGCATATCCCTGTTCAGATCTAACCTTTAAGACAAGGAAAACTTACCTGTATGTAGAATGTCCTTTTAGAAGTATGAACTTCAAATAAATTGTCCCTGGCTCCTGGAGACCTGGCAAATACAGTGAATGAACATTTTATTGTCCAAGTTATTTTCAGAAATTACTTAAGATTGTGTGCATTGGTGAGCATGAAAAAAATTGATGTACATGTATCAGTACTCTGTTATATCACAAAAATAGTATCCATTTCAAAAAGCTGGATTTTTTTTCTTATTACCAGTTCTGAGCTATCTTTCCCTCTATTCAACCTGATATAAACATTTCTTACCCCAGCAATATGACATTTCTTATTGACTCAGTACTGTAAAAGTGGTTATTTACACGTGGGGGAAATTTACACTACTTACGCGGTAAGCTAAGAACCGCGTAAATTACCCCCGCGCGTATGGTCACAAAATTTCAAACTTCTGGAATCATTCTAGACCACGACTTATACTGTTAAACCGGTCGAACCAGTCATATATTAATTGTGGTATTGAACGCACGTAAGTAGATAAATACATCACAGAGAGTGATGAAAAAGTAACTGTTCTTTTTTTTTTAAATGTGCAATGAAAAATGCATCTTCATATTAAATATTTTAAAGCAACGTCACGCAATTAAAGCTTAAAAACATCGATACTCATTTTCATTTCCTTTGTATGTACGTGTATGTCCCTCTTAATTTCAAATAATTAGTCCAAAATGTTACCCAAACTCACAGTCACTAAAAACATACCTATTGAATTAATTGCCAACACTCGCCGCACAGATACAGGTAAGTAGATCCCACTTTGAAGTTTGAGCTTGCGTAAATAATTACAATAAAGCGCACACCAGTTGTTCACACTTCATCGCTTTCGACTGTGCAGATCACCGTTATATTTAGTAATCCAACAGTATAAATTCTTTTGTTTAGTTTGTTTGTACATGTAATTATTTCTATTTTTTTTTCTTATTCATGCGTGTTAACTTCTTGACCTTTTCAAAGGGGAACAACTCGATGTTAGTAAACGATGACCGCGTAATTTTTTTCCAGTAACTCGTGCGCCGCGTATATTACAACCGCGCGTAATGTTTGATGGTCACAAACGCGTACTTAACAACCAGTGTAAATAACCACTTTTACAGTATGAGACAGCACAGTCATAAGGTTCTCTCACTGTATCTAAAGGATTGTTGTGCCAATTACAATATTTGACTATGACCTTTTGACCTTTACTGCAATAGGCTTTTTCCTTTGGCCATTTGATAACTTGCAGGAAGTATTTATATATGACTTATATATGTGGTACATTCAAAACTGAAAGGTCAGTCATGGTCACTGAGTCCACAACATTATTCAGGCGTATCAGTTTTTGACCTTGACCTGACGACTTATTGATCCTATGATGGGCTTCTTTTTCTAACTACTATAACTGCTATCTGATGCAAATTACCAACTGAGAGGTCAAACAATTCTCTTTATATTGTATTCACATGTAACAGAGGTATGTTAGTACCTCAGAATGGATTTGCACCTGGGACCTCTGGTATGCCAATCCAGTGCTCTACCAATTGAGCTAAAGGGTTAACCCACTAGCCCAAGCTATATGTAGTAGGATGCCATATATCCAACACCACCATATTGTCCCCCCTCCAGAAAATGAGATTTCCTCATCTCTTATGGAGTGCAAACACCTATGGGGCAAAGTTCTGGGGGCAATCATTTTCACCCACTAGAGAATACCCCAATCCCAATGTGGACACCAAATGTAACAGAGAATGTTTGTGCCTCCGAATGGATTTGAACCCAGGACCTCTGGCATGCCAGCAGTGCTCTACCAATCAAGCTAAAGCGTTAGCCCTTTCTGATGTCTGTGATGTCACCTTTGGTAATACAAACTGACAATGTTTACTAGGGATACAATAACTTACATGGTGGCCTTTCTGACGTCAGTGATGTCACCTCTGGGTATATGCCTTAGAGGTTCATCTGACTGAAACAAAAACATTACATCAAATTAAAACCTACTTCATAAAGTAATTCTGACAGTTTATATAAAAAAAAACATTTTACAATTTATTTCTATAATGTTTCATGTTTAAATAAAATTAAAGTATGTCTGATAGGTCAATTTATCTTCCATTTACCTTTATTTAGATACGATACACGTACACATTTACATGAACAATCAAAGTTAAATCCTATCACCAAGAGACTGTATATTGTACAATATTTCACAAAAAAAAAATTAACAGGAAAAAAAGAGCAGTCAATCAACAGATATGATTATTAAACTAGGGATTAAGAATTTAAAATAGATGCATATTTTTTTTTTTTTCAAACTGTAGTAGAGACATTTCATCTCACCATGATCAAGGCCAACTTTTTTCTCGTGCTAACCTGTTCATTGCTATAATAGGCCAGGCCACCATCATTCACAACAAAATATCTTCTCTTCCAGTTTTTCCTCTGAAAGAGCAATACAAGAAATAAATATTACAGATACATATATTCATCAAAACTGATAAAACCTCTAATGACAGGAAAGAAAAGCTAATTCAGGGAATTCATGTGCCATGCCACACTACATGTATTGCCTTTTTTTGTCAAGATTAAATCAAAAGCTGTTATACTGACCACGCCCCCCTGCTTGACACAGTAGCCTTTTTTGAGTGCTGGCTGAGAAGATGCCATTATCTTTTGATTTTCCATACTTTCTTCACTCTCACTTGAAGCACCTGATTCATTAGTATTCTCATGCTGTCAACATAAACAAAACCAAGACATAAAATTAAGTAAACTCCTATAATCATATTTCCTGTTTATCAAACATGAACTCTTTTGTAATGATTCAGAAGTTTATGGCCGTCATCGCCATATAAAAAGTGGCATCATCTTTCATCATCTGGGTTTTTTAAAACAAGTTTTTATCTGATAAGAATTTCCTAAACCTCGGAGCTTGGACTGTGGTGTTTTAGAATGAAAAACACTTGCTTTTTTTATGCTAAGACAGAAAAAAAGGACATTCTAATTCTTTAACAGAAAAAAAAAAAAAAAGAAAAAACCCTAATATTATCAGAAAGAAAAATATGTTCCATCTCAAAGCAAAATCTGAGTTCTAGACTTAATCTATGGCATTGGGTAATATTTCACTTACATACATCTTCATTTATTACCAGCCCACTGTTTCTCCTACTACCCACATGTATCATTGTTTTATAAATAATGTTTAAAAAAAGCATTTTACTTTTGTAGCAGGGTTCTTCACCATCTAAAAGTTTCACTGTGGCTCAAAGTGCATAAACAGCATTTTTGATTTGGAGATCAATGACATTTTGTTGTAACGTCAGACAAAACCAAATGTTGGGGTAATATATATAAAAGTTTTATGGTAATTTATACAAAATTTTATTCATTCCCGTTTTCCAGATCTTAATGAGGGGCAGAGAAATTTTACAGTAACTAAATATTTAACTGTGGGGCAAAAAGTTTTCCAAGGTGCTTGTACATGGAAACAGGCTCAAGAAAACACTACTACACTGATTGTTCATATCACAATACTCTTCAATAAAGTACCAAATAAATTTAAAAAAAAACATTGCACAGATTACGCCATAAGTAAGTATATGAATTTTAAGTAAAAAAAAAACAGCAAAGCATATACCCTTATTGGTATTTTAATTGGTACTCCTCCAGCAATCTCTGTTTTGTAACCAGCTTCTGGGTCATTTAAATTCTTAGATTCCTCCACTGGAACCTGCAAGAAAGAAACTCAAAGTTGAAATATTGTGGTTCAGAATTCACACATAATATAAGATGCACTGTGTAAGTTTTGTTACATTATTAGCCTTTTTCAAGTTTGTTTTTAAATTTTGGGGGTGGGGTGGATTTTCCATTCCAATTTTATTACGATTCATACATTGCCATGTAATAGAATCAGACAATTATTTTCTTGGTATGATTACATGTACTGTTATTTTCACTATGTTATTTTGTTATATTATTACACCTACCGTTATTTTACTGATGTTATTTAATGCATATATCCATCCTTGCATATCCTCCGTACTCTCAGCCTGTAAATATTGTGTTTTCCCTGCATGGTTTATAACTAAAACAAAAACAAAAAATTTGCTCAGATTAGTTTAAATTATATAATGATGATATCTAAAATAATCTTATTTAGGATCTAAGAGAGTTTAATATTAAACATTTTCCACAAACATCCCCACCCTTCCTGCAAATATATATTTTTTTTCAATTTAGTCATATTACATAATGTTGATATTTAAAAATAACATTATGAAGAATCTCATTTTCTGTGAGGGATTGATATTAAATATTTTCCACAGATACCCCCACCCTCACTATAATTCTTCCTGAAAAAACTTTCCTATTCAACACTAATCCAAAACTATTACTTTAATGTAATGGGCAAAATTTTCTGACCCCTTTACAATCTTAATATTTACTCAGAAAGTCATAATGGTCTTCAAACAATTAATGACAAAGGATGACTGTACTTAACGCCTGTTTTGAGTCTTTTTCAGTTGCTTCTGTTGCTTTTATATCTAAACCTTATCTTACTTTTGTATGTTTATGAAAGAATGCTGTCAATTTGGAACCAAATTTAAATCTTAAAATGACTTTAGACTGTGATACAATAAAATGATTCAATGTTTTTTGTCCTCACTTCTTTCCAGATATAGTGAATTTACACTTACCTGCCCTTGATTGAACATTAGATATGCATGAGATGTGGAGCTAACATTGTAAGAATGGCTCTAAAATTAGACTACATAAATAACAATGATATGTTTGGAAAAGTGAACGTGATCACTCTTTCCAATCTCCCTCTTTATTCTGTATGGTACAAATACACTTCTGACAAAGGTTTCAAAACGAAATTAACAATATGAGCACGTCAATGTAATTAAAGCAGATTTTATATCAATGCCAAATGACTTAACGTGTTCAAACACAATGTCCTAGTTAGCACAAAACATGCTTCCTTACAAGTCACGTGACGGAATTTAGTATTCACAAAGTTACCTGAGTTAAGAAATCACGTGGTGAATTATAATATCCAACATGTCACAATCCTTGGTTACAACACAGAGAGCGAATGTAAGAAGAAGCAGCTTTTTCTCTTTTTTACCATGAGCGCATGTTTGTCTATTAATCTCCTTTTGAAACATTATTATTTATGCAAATATACAACGACTGTTAAACGTAGAACAATTGACAAACATGCGCTGACTATGTACAGTCAGTAAAAATGTGGGCGTCCTCATTATCGAACGGAGATTCAAGAAATTGTGATGACCCCTGCCTTTGAAAACAGATTCGAACTGCGTAAATACACACTTTTATTAAACGTAATTACAGAAAGTTGTAGATTGGATGTTGACCATTCTTGCAATGAAAAGAAAATGCTTGTTTTGAAAGTTTATTTTGTCGCAAATTCCACATGTCCTTAAGTGCAGTCATCCTTTATGACAAGATCTTCCTGTTTATACAGGCCTATGAATGATAATGATTAATGTTGTATGCTGTATATGTATAAATCAGTGCATATAAAGAATTTAATGAAGTATTCTCTCAAACTCTATTATCAATCTCTGGCCCAGTCAAATCACCCTTACTATTTACTAATCATTTCATCATGCAAAAGATTTATTAAATCAACAATGATATGCCTGTGCATTTACTTGGAAACTTTTTTTATCACAGAAAAAGATATTAAATATTGTAGTCTTAGACTTTTTAAAATATATATAAGAAAAATGGTGACATGGTTATGTATAAGAGTATAAATGATGTTAAATTGTATAAATCTGTTCATTATAGTAAGCTAACACAATGATAAGTATCCATGAACACCTTCAATGGAGACAGAAACAATTTAGTATTTGGATGATAATTACCACAAATGTCAAGGTTATATTTTTTTATAATACTCACCAAAGCAGGAATTCAGCTTTGGCTTCTGTTTCTTTGAGACTTCACTAACCTAAACAAAGAGGATAGCATTGACTATCAATAATTCAATACACTCACTGATTAGCTTAATCATTATGTGTTCAAATCTGTACTACAACACAGGAAATATTTACCTTTGAAATAACGGCTGTTCTGATTTCACCACAAGGACTCTGTTGATTAGAGGGTAAGTTCTGAAAAACGACACAGTATTTAAATTTTTCAATTATGCATTACCATGTAGAAAATTGAAAAAGAAACAACGTTGACATTTTTTTCAGTCTGGATGAGGGATCAAAAGGTGATTTCATTAAAGGCACACATCATGTGATTTTATTTAAAGGCATACATTAGGGTTGTCATTGTAGAACTTAAGTGTCTCCTCGCAGGGATCAAGTATGAAATATCTTCGTTTTGAGTTGGTGGATGACTCCTTCTCAAGGATGTTCAGAAATCCACAGGTTCTCCCTTGTTTATCTTGATATGGCATGTTATTATCCTTTAAAGAATTAAGAGAGATTAATCATCAAGAAAAACTGAAATAATTTTATTACAAAGAATAAAGACACCCAAATTAATGTTCATTGTCCAAAAAAATTATCAAAGTTTTTCTAAAATCTAATATTTTCATTTCAAAGAAATGAACTTGACTGGAAATCCAACCAAATATATTCATAATATTAATACCTAGGCTAATTACATAAATACATGTACATTAAACAATGCAATACCTGCCTTATAGACAGATCTAGTATTCATACATAGAGACCATATTCAGATTCATTTAGGCAGAATGGGGGTTTCGTTGGGGTGACTTACATTGGGATAAAGAGACACTTTGTGAACTTATCCCTTAATTTTTTTTTTTAAATTAACATTGCACTCTGTTCAAGGATGACCTTGCAATGACACAGATTTTCTAAGGTTCACACAAATGCCTACAGTGTATCCAGGTTAAAGAGCTGATCAAGAAGTTACATGAAGTATGCAAACAGGTAAACAAACAAGGAAAGAAAAAAATCCAAATTTACACCTAGTTACACGTGCTACAATATCAACTGTAAACAACAGATACACAGATACAAATAACAACCTTTCAAACTGATGCTTTAACCACACGCCATCCCAATTATTTGGTTGATAAAGTTTCTCTGAAGCGTGAAACAAGGAAGTCTGACTTCGACGCCATTTTAATGGAAACCGGAATAAGATTATATATGAAGAAACCCTTCCGATTAACCCACTTTATGCCGAATTGAATTAAAATGACGCAATTTTGTACCTCATATATAAATGTTTTTCTCTCCCCGAAAAGAAAAAAAATTAAGGTTAAATTTTTCACCACGGAGAAAAGATTGTCTCAAGATATCCCCATTCAATGCATAAAGTTTCTTGGATGTTTTTCAAGACCGACCTACCCAAATTTTCAAGAAATTGAACAAAAAATTAAAATTTTGGGATTATTTTTAACTTCCGTGTTAACTTGAAAAATGAGACTTTTCTAAAGAAAAAATGAAATGTAAAATCTGATAAAATTAGAAATATCGCCATTTGCTATATATAATATCCAATTTTCATTTTAAAATGCAACTCCAACACACTGTCGCATGTGAAGCTTTGTCTACCAAAATACAACTGCATGATGTGCAATTTTCCAACACTTAGAACATTCGAATTCTGTGTAGAAACCCTAATTACTCTTTTCAACTACTTGACTATACTGTTCATATAATTTGCAATATATACACATAATGATATTTCATATTGAAGAATAAATATAAATTATTTTGGAAAATAATTGGAATTATTGCTTATTCAATGGGGGGGGGGGGGTAATTATAATTTCTAACATAAATGCACTCTTTAATTCTATTTTTTTTACCCTCTTACCTGTCCAATGTTTGAAAAAAAAGTCTTGAAAAACAATCAATAAAAAAGTGGCCAATTCTTGTTTTGACAGGATCTCTAATTTATACGTATTAGTTTTGCCACAATTCATTATACAAAGTTGTAACCGTTAGTTGGGTTTTATTCAACATCATTCAACTGTAATTCAAAAAAAAAAAAAAAAATGCAGATCTTTTGCTTTTTAAAATTGCATTGTAACTTCCATCTACAAAAGGAATACTTTCAATGTGCTTTTTGGTACAGGTCACAACGTATTTCAACTAGTATACGTCCCTGATGTATTAATTTTTTTTTTCTATTAAATAATAATCACAGTTTATTCACGGAGTTCAATAACATTCAATTATCGAAGAAAGAAGAAAATTCTCGAAACAATATTACTTTTGCCAAAACTATGAGCAGTTTTTGTTGTTGGTGTGTATGACGTTGCGTCATCACTAGCTGCACGGACTATCATGATCTCTGCATGTACAGTACTGTTGATTACCTGTATATTGTGTGCGCCCAAACGGAAAGGGATTTCGCATGGTGACTGTATATTTCACCTCTTTGTGTAAAACAATGGGCTTGGATAGAGTCGCATTTATGCAATATATTGTTAAAATGACACTTGTAAAAAAAATTTTTTGATCGGGCGGGGTTTCCCGACCCCCCCCCCCCCCCCAACCCCCCTGAATCCGCCACTGGTCAGCATAATTTTCATGGAAATATAGAGGAAAACAATCTTTTAGCAAACTCTGAAGAAGAGCAGGACCAAGGTGATTCAGATGAATAAAGGAACGAGACAAAGAGAAGACACACACAAAGGTGAGATTGTTAAAAATAATGAAAGATTGCCTTTTTCTGTTTTCTACCCTTCTTGTATACATGAGAATTTTCTTTGTATCTTTATAAATAGGGATTTTTTTTTTATCGAGAATGCTGTACTCGGCAACATCTTCGTAACTCTTTTCAACAGAAGTCGGTAAAGAAAGAGAGCGTTACAGAGTACATCGATTAAATCCCAACTATTTTGAGATCACTGCTGATGACAAATTAAAAATGGCAAGTATTTTTATAGTGTACCTATTCCAGGGATTTTTACAGAATTATACAACGCTAAAAAAATTATATGATATTAAATTATGATTTTAAATCTAAGAATGATTGTGCTCTTTTGCAGAGGGAGTTTGTATCTCAAAGAAAGGTTCAGAAAACTATTGGAAATATTCAGTGCATTATTAGACACAATGCAGATGTGAACGTACATTGTAGGTACCAATAGTGAATACAGTGTACTCAAAAGAATTCTATTCTACACAAAATCTTCATGTCGAAGTTCAAAGAGCTACTATTTTCTCCATCAAAAAAGAGAAAATAATTTTGCAACAGTGATAGATGATGATCTAAAGTAAAAAAGAAATGACGTTACCAGATTCAAAATTTATTTATATAGGATGAAAAAAGTTGACAGTCACTCAAATGATTTTCTTTCTCAGGACTTTCTACCGTCCTGGGCGACTGAGAAATATTTTTTAGATTTGCACAGGCACAAAAAAGTAGGGATGTCAACGAATAGTCGACTATTCGACTATCAGTCGAATGGACCGACGATAGAATAATGAAACGACATTCGAATATTATCATAATTAAATAAATACAATAAAAGAGTGATAACGTGATGGAATTCTCATCAGAAAATTGAGAAACCGTCTTACCCAAGAGACAGTCGATAAGAACGGTTGATTTTCCATGTACATATAAAAAGTACAGTGATTATAAGTGCTTCACTACTGCCGAGTATACTGCGGGAATTATTTAGCAGTAACTGCCTGTGTTGTTTTGTAATTTAAAATCACTCACCAATTTACTAGGCTTTGTTTGTAAAATTATTAATTGGACTTGATCTTATACCATGTACCAATTATTTTTTGTTATTTTAAGATTGCTCAAACGCAAGGAAGAAACCATAACTTTGACATGTTTTGAAACTCCGATAATTATTAAAACAATTCGCTTACATTTTAAACTGTATAAGGCCATTTTGATAGCCAGAGCAAACAATAATCGAATAAGCAGTATCTAACTGTTTAACAATTTCACAGGCACTTGACGTTTGGATAGTGTGAGATTAACCCCCCTCCCCCAATTTATTTCATAATAAGCTCTAAAAAAAAATCTCCTAGCATTTTTTTTTCTTTGCTTGCTAAAATAAAAACTGACTGCATGCACAGATCGATTTATGAATTCTATTGACGGGGAAATCATACATTTTGGAGAATTAGGAAAAAAACATGCTATCTACGCGTTACGTTGCATAAATTTTGATGTTACTTTTTAAATAAATTAAGTAAAAGGGCTTTCTGAATTCTAAATACGTCATGTACCAGTGAAGTTTGATATACAGTTTTATTTTCGGAAAATGTTCCGAATATATTCGACTATCGTTCGAATAATGCAATCGAATATTCGACTAAGGAAAATAAATATTTTGACATCCCTACAAAAAAGTGAGTAGTTTTCTATTGCATTATGCATGCAAGTGTTTAAATATTTCACGAAAACTCTAGATTCGTTTCTTAGTGAAGGTAATTTTAGTAGCATTAAAACTCAGTAGTTTTCCTAGCATAAATAGAGGGGGGAAAATGAATTCTTACAAAAACAGAAAGCTCCTAAATTATGAAGTTTGACAAATTACATTGTATTTCAATTTAAAGAAATGCGTTGCTACGCATGGCCATTACAGTAAGCATTACCCCAAGACTGGTAACAGGTAGAATGTTTTACTTTCAAAAGATAAATTATTTTTCTTAAACAAAATTATGACTTTCATTTTTTTTTCAGACCAGAGACTCTGATGCATCAAATGTAGAAGCGGAAAGAATTAAGGTATTCCAAAAATTGCTACAACATAATTGTTGTGCTTTTCATAATCTAGCAAATTCAACGTTAACTAATGAGGAATAGATGTATACTCATCGTGTGTATCTCTCTCTCTTAATTGGTATATACATGCATTTTCACCAGGAATATATTCAGAGCATCATTGAACGAAGATACTAAAAAACTGAGATTGCAGCAACAAAAGTGAGTAAACAGGTAAAGTCAAAAGTTGTTCCTTTTTCTGAAAGATATAATCATCGTGTAATTACAACGAAATGGTTCTGTATCCTTGAGTAACACCGTACTGTTTACTAACTCTAGTACTTTCAGCACATGCAGTGATGATTCTTTTTTTAACGGGAGACAATTTAAGAATGTATGAAAATTTATATTTAAATTCTTGTTCTCTTATCGTGTTTTAAGTTTTATGTTAGGAAAAACTACTTAAAAGTCCATGTATTTCCCTCTTGACAGATTATAGAAACTAATATAGAGCACAAGACAAACGTTGACAATAGAAAAAAAGGGGATCGAAAGAAAAAATAAAGAAATGACTGCACATGAGAAAGTGCTTGAGGTAAGTCATTGCGAGACTTGTACTGGATTGGAATAAACTGACGTCATAAGCCACGAGAACAGACACAGTGTGCACAGAGCCTATAGTCTTGGAAAGCATGGCTCTCCGTTACAATGTAGATGGTACAAGCAATATTCCATAAACAAACTGAA